GCAAAGGAGGCCCAGGGGAAAAAGACAAACACAGTCACTATCTTCTGGAACTAGCTGGAAATTATGAGGAACAAGTCCCTAGAACTGGGGTCTGGTTCTGGCTCTACCTCCAAACTAATATGCAAAGCATAGTGACCTCCATGGGCCCTAGTTTCCATCAGTAAAATGAAAGAATTAGAGCTGGTGTTCACTAAGGTGTAACGCATCTCTGACTTTCTGTGGCTCCAAGGAGGAAAGAAAGATCTGGAAGCCACAGAAGGAAGGGCTGGTTGGACACACCAGGAATGTCTCCATGGGAGAACAGCAGGTAGAAGTGCAGATTGGAACCCTGGAGATCTGTCATGAGTCTGTGAAAGAGAAGGGGATGTGTATCGTGTGGCCTCTGATGGTGGAACCCATGGGCAGAAGTTATAATGGGGGTGGGCCACTTTCACCCCATCTTGGAAGATCCGGAGCAGAATTAGATCTGCCCAGTGACTAAATGGGCCACCTTGTGAAGGAAAGAGCACCTGCCAATCAGAAAGAGGCTGAAGACCACCTGCTCAGGCCACCTGGGCAGGATTCCCAGCAGGGAATTTGTGATTGTAAAGCCCTATAATCATACATTCTGAAGAAACCAAAAAAAAAGCCATTGGGTCCGCTGTGTTCTGTGGAAAAGGCAAATAGGAGGCCAAATATGACGTTACAAAGAACAAATAGCCCAGTAAATGCCTAAGGAAAAAGACCAGAAGAAAAACTATGAAAATACCAGCAAGGATTGGATTAGGATGGAGGATTATAGCCATTCTTTTTTTGTCCCTTCCCCTGTTTTCCAAATGTTTGGGAAGATGGTGATGTTGTTTTTTAAACTAAAGCAATTTTATTCTTTATGGAAAGTTATCTGGTCCAACCCTCATCCCGGGACAGGAAACCTGTCTACAACCGCTAAGCGCTCTTCCAATCCCCAGGCTCTGAGAGGCTCAGTTAGGCCCGACAGAGCAGGAGACGGGAGGAGAGCGACGACGTAGAGGTGCCTGCTGAGTGCCAGGCCCTGTGTGGGAACAGCACCAAAGGCACCGTGGCTGTCCTGAACCAAAAAACAGAATGGCACATTGTCTCAGTGCATCTGTGAAACAGGCAGGAGGCGGATCCTGTGTCGTTCAGCAATAGGTGGGTGGCCTGCCAGGCCTGGGAGGCAGGACGGAGGGTCTCCACCATACACATTGCTGGAAGAGGAATTCGAGGTGAGCCGATGAACTGCCTGTGCCATCCTATAATCTGATGGCATCAAGGCCAAAGCTGTGGCCAGATGGATGACAATCAGGGCATGGAGTTTACTTTGACGTGGAGGGCTGGGTTTCCCTGTCTCCAACTATGGTACACATATACATACACACACACACACACACACACACACACAGCCTCGCCTCAGGTGAAAAGAACTAGCAAGCTTGCTCCCCTGCTAAGCCTCCTAGTAATTCTCCCTGAGGAAGCCAGCTCCTTCATGATCAGCCAGGCGGACACACAGCATCCACTCCTTGCACCCTGTGCTCCCCCTTATTCTCTATCTTAGCCCCTCCCTTTCTTCCTCCTCCAGGGGCCACATAACCCCCTCACCACCTACAGCCCCCCACCACCTACAGCCCCTCACCACCTACAGCCCTGAACACCTAGAGCCTTAATACCTACACCCCTCATATCTACAGCCCCTAACCCCTGTACCCCTCACCATATACAACCCCTCACCACCAACAGCCCCTCACTACTGTAGCCCCTCACCACTGCCTTCCTTTGCTTCCCATGGAGAAAGGCCTCCCTGGCCGCGGTGCTTGCGCTGGCAAAGTCAGTCTCCTCACATAAAAGACTCAGTGAGTCCCGGAGACACTTGGAACCCAGACAGAATGGAATTTCTCCCTATTTTCTTTACAGCTGAGAAAACACAAACACAAGAGCATATTTATTACGATATTTCTATCCCAAAGTTTGTCTAAAAAAAAAAAAGAAATAAAATTAGTTTCTCTTGCCCACTCCCCCCCATCCCTCCCCCCACTCCCCTTTTCATTCCTTCCCATTTCCTGGTCTAGGCCAGGGAGCCAAACAGAGCGGACCCAAGCCCCACAGAGAACTACTGCATCCCCAGACAATGTCCGGCTTGTTCAGAGAGCGAGGGAAGAAACACAACTCCGAAAACATACACAGAACTTCCCAGTGAGCTGTGTTCTGAGGAAAGAACAGGCAGGCCTGTGTCTGAACGCAAATCCCTGAGGCTCTGAGAAGAGGGGAGCCCAGAGTCTAGACCCCCTCCCCAGCCTGGAGAGGACACCTTGCTCTCTGACCCTCCTCAGCTCTCCAAACAACCGTTTCCTAGTGAAGGCTGGTCACACCAGGCTTGAAGAGAGCCCCATAACCCAGCAGCCCCTTCAGGGCCAGGCCTGCAGCCCCAGAGATGGTTTTTAAAGGCAGCATGTAAGTAGAAAAATCCTTAAGAAGAAACAAGGGGCTACTTCTCAGAGTTTGGAAATTTTCCAGACTTCCTTTTTGAAGGCCATGTGCCTCACGTGTGCATCTCTATGCCCCCAGCAGCACCTACACAGAGAGCTCTCATTTATCAGGAGACCAGCATATGTAGCATGAGTGGAGGACAAATGGTAGAAGGATGTCACACACCAAAAAGGCAGGAAAGGGTCACCCAGAGTCCTGGGTCCTCACGGTCCCTCCTGCAGGTGTTCCTAGGCAGGACAACTGCAACCCCCCAGTGCCCCACAGGATGCTGACCTCATCTCCAAATCCATCTTGCCCCAGCCTATGGGGACCGAATCAAAAGCGACATCTACTGGGCCAACAAAGCCGAGGTTGGGCGCACCTCAGCTTAGCATGGCTCTCCGCCTCTGCAAACTCCCTTCTTTACCTGAGTTGCAAGTCCCCCACCCACTCCAAGGTTTCCTTTCCCTATGGTGCAAATGCTCTTAAAAGAAAATGCTCATGGCCAGGAGCAGAGGGCAAGGTAGGTGCCAGCGCCAGTCCATCCGACAGGACAACCTGGTGACCATCCTCAGGCACAGGTCATGGAGGGCCGGTCACAGGTGTGCATAATGATTCCCATGTGCAGCCACTTTGAGAGACTCTGCCCTGGCTAGTGGCTTGTAAATTTAGTTGGGTCTTCTCAGGGCTACCTGTGCTGGTAGACTAGAATCCCAGTCCCAATTGTGCAGGGGATGCCCTTGACATGACAGCTGTCACTGATCTGTATACATGTCATGTCAGTTGTCCAGCACATGTCATGAGGAAGGCTTGTCTTTCTAATTCAAATGAAGTTGTGTTTGGGCCAGCAGGAGGGCTTCAGGAATCCTAGATTCCCATTTCTTTCCTAAATTATGAATCTGTTCTTCCCACAGCCCACTCAAAATCTCTCTTGCCCTGATATGAACCAGCCAAGTCTTGCCTGAAACCTTGGAGCACAGTCTATTCTAAAACATGTAGGATGCCTGGATTTTTATTGTTGTTTTGTACTGGGGGGTTGAACTCAGGGGTACCATACCACAAAGCCACATCCCCAGTTCTTTTTATTTTTTGAGACAGGGTCTTATTAAGTTGCTGAGACTGGCCTTGAACTTGCAATCCTCTTGCCTCAGCCCCCCAAATTGCTGGGATTACAGGCATGCACCACCATGCTTGGATGGATCCCTGTATTTGAAGTTGGTGGCAGGCTACGTTTCTATTAGGGACATTGGGTGACTTGTTACTTCTCTGGGCCTAGGGGATTGCATTAGAGTTCTCCAGAGAAATAAACCAGAGTGGGAGAGGGAGAGGTGTCTCTTAACAAGAACTCTCTTGTTGGGCGACTTTGTCATTGTGCAAACATCATACAGTGAACTTACACAAACCCACATGGTCAATACTCCACTTGGCCTCTTGATGCAATGAAGGGACACAGTGAAAACCAGATGTATGAGGCTGTGCTGATGTACCACAGCATATTGTTTTGCAGTAAACATATTTTCATATGTAGAAATACATGCTAAAATAAATTATAATTGAAAGTATTATCCAGGAAATAAAAAACAATAATAGTCATTTATTAGCCTTTTTAAGTATTATCTACCACGCATAGCGGTATTGCCATACTTTTATACAACTGGCAGCATGATAGATTTGTTGACACTAGCATCGTCACCAACAGGTGAGTGACATGCTGTGCTATGACTTTTCACTACAATGTCACTAGGCACTATGAATTTTTCATCTCCATTGTAATTTTATGGGACCGTCATTGTATATATGGTTCATTACTAACTGAAATGTTATTATATGGCAGAGGATTCTTTGTGGATGTGTGGAGAGAGAGAGAGAGAGAGAGAGAGAGAGAGGATGAATTATTAGGAACTAGCTGCATGATTATGGAGGCTGGCAGGCCCCAAGATCTACAGGGATTTGGTAAGGTGGAAACAGGAGAACCAATAAGGTATTTTAAGTTTGGAAGCCTTTTGGCTCAAGACCTGGGAAGAGCCAATGTTTCAGTTCAAGTCTCTAGGGAAGGAAAAAAAAAACAACAGTGTCTAAGCTCACAGGTCACAGGAAAGAAGAATTCCCTCTTATTCAGGAGAGGGTCAGTCTTCGGGCTGTATTCAAGCCTTCACTGATTGGGTGAGGCCCATCCCTCTGGGGAAGGCTATTACTTTACTCATTTTATAGATTAAAATGCTCCTCTCACCCAGAAACACCCTCACAGACCAGCCATATCCTGAACAATGTTTGGCAAAATGCCCAGGCACCCTGTGGCCCTGTCAAGTTGATGCATAACATTAACCACCAAAGGAATTCACTGGAATGAGTCTTTGCTGACTAGAACATGGGAGGTTAGCCTTGTCAGTCCAATGCCTCTAACTAAACAGAAATCTGTAAAGGTTTTATGAAGAAAAGGTTCTTGCAGAAGGCCTCACACACCACCTCCAGCCTCCAGCCTCTCCTCCACCTCATATGCATTAACTGTCCAAATAATGCCTCTGCCTTCCCTCTTCCAGGTGAACTATGACCACTTTTCTCTTGCTTTTTGTGACTCTGAGGGTCATCACTGCAGCCGTCTCAGAAGAGGTTTCAGGTGAGGACATTCCCACACTTGTCTCATTTCCTCATAGGTGCTGAGTACTGAGTTCTGAGCACTGGTTATTGAACCTGGTGCTGCTAGTCCCAGGGACACAATTCCCCCTTTCCTGGCCTTTTCCTGGTCCTTCCCTTCCCTACCTACACAGTCTAATCACAGCAGGAGAGCACCCCTGTGTGTGTGTACAGACAACCAGGAGCTTCTCTCGGATCACCCAGCTCCTGGCTGCCTTCTAGCAAGGACAGCAGCTGGGGAGAGCTCCCAGCAGGGCCTCTTTCCCAGCATTCTTCTCTCCGAATCTCACCTAGAACTACACACTGAACTTGGGGCAAGAGAAGGGGAAAGCTGCTGGGGGAGGAGCCTCAGGAGCTCTTTCGGGAGGAAATGCTTGAGAAGCAGAGAGGAGTCCCCAGGGAATGGGAAAGGTCTTTGCCTTTCTTGGCAAAGCCCCCCAGCTCGATCTCAGGGGTGCAACAGGTGCTTGAGAATCTTTCTAATAATCAAGGTCTTTTACCAAGTGAACAAAACAACCTCACTAACCCTGGAATGAGCTTGACCCCAAAGTAGAATGACTCTCCCTTAGACCCAGATAAGAGGCCCTGCCCTTGGACCACACACTGTAGAGCCCTCTTCTTGAGGAAGGGGGTGTGTAGAGCCAGTGAGAGTCACCAGACTCTGGAGAGAAAGGATGCTCACCACTCTCTGCCCAAGAGGCACAAGCCACTCCCAGGGCCTGTATGTGTGCATCCTCCTTTGGGGAGACACAACCTGAGCACGAGCACCCCCTGGACCCAATGGAAGAGTCAAGAAGTGGCTGTTTGCTTCGGGTGCTGACAGATAAACTCAGCCTGTGCATGAGATCCCCCACAGTGCAGAGTCCATGGGCCAAATAAAAGGGTACCCAGCTCCTCTTCCATCACCCAGCCACTACATCTAACGCAAAACTCTTAAGGAATTTGAATATGGAAGCTTAGGTCATTTTAAAGTTACCATGGTCAAATAGGAAGACACAACGTATTTTATTTAGTAATCTGTTAGTCTGCATATGGAGACGTATGGCATATGAGCCTCCATTTTTACTGTTGCTTTGGGACCCACAAATACCTAGCTCCTGGCCACCACCTGGGGTTGGTATGTCCACACTGGCAAAGTGGCCCACTAGCATTGGTTAAGAACTGTAACAACTGTGGAGCTGGACTCTGCAGTGGCCTTCAGCTGTCCCCTGAGGACCACCACTGTGAAAACCAAGCTGGTGCCCGAGCCAGGCGTTAAGATGGAGGTGTTTGTGGAAGGGGCTGGTGGTGACTGTGCAGACTTCAAAAAGCCGGAGCCAGACTCCAAACATTCCTGGCTCCCCTGTTCTTGCCCTGCTATGTATCTACCACCCACAAATATCTGAAACATTTTTTTATTTTAACCTGTAGGCTCTACTGAAAGGGCTCCATAAATTTAGGACTCACCATGAAAAGTGTTATTTTTTGAAAAGCTATGTCTCTCCCATTCCTGACCAGATCTTTTCCTTCGAGCAGGATTTGGTAAACACACTGTAACTTTCCTACCAATAATCTCCCTGATTTTTGTGGAGTCTAGTTCTATCCCATCCCCAAACCCTCCATCTGACTCTTTGCATACTAAATTGTCTGATCTCTTATGCTTCTTCACTCAGCCCAATACCTGAAGAGCAGAAGCAATTTGTTCCCCTTTGAGGTCAAGTAGAGTCCAAAGTGGACCTCCCAAAATGGGACATAGCATTGAAGTTTCGTATCTTAGCTATAAAAGCTCTGTAGAATTCTTTTACACCCCATAATAACTTTTTATACAGCAATACAAATTTTTCCAAAATCTTTGAGTCAAACAGTCACTCCAAGAAGATGGGTTCTGTTTTATCCTGTGGTTTGGTGACCCAGGAGTACCTCAGCTTGAGAAATAAGGAGGTGATTTCTGGCTGGGCCATGTCCCTGCTGTCCTCTGGAACCCTTTTCTGGCTCTACAGATTTTGTCCTGAGGTGCAGAAACCAGGGGTCTTGAGAAACATTGCTCTAGAAAGAGTATTGCAAAGCGTTCTGGGAGTTTCCATATGACAGGTCATCCCATCATAGACTCAAACACACTGACTGAATTGTGGTCTCAGAAGAGTGCATTCCCAGAAGGTAACAGGTCTGTCTTCTATCTCCCTGCCTCTCCCACACAGAGCATGACAACTCCCTGAGTGTGAGCATCCCCCAACCGTCCCCAGTGAGGGTCCTCCTGGGGACCTCCCTCACCATCCCCTGCTATTTCATTGACCCCATGCATCCTGTGACCACCGCCCCCTCCACTGCCCCCCTCGCTCCGAGAATCAAGTGGAGCCGTGTTTCCAAGGAGAAGGAGGTGGTACTGCTGGTGGCCACCGAAGGGCACGTGCGGGTCAACAGTGCCTATCAAGACAAGATCTCGCTGCCCAATTACCCGGCCATCCCCAGCGACGCCACCTTGGAGATCCAGAACCTGCGCTCCAATGACTCTGGGATCTATCGTTGCGAGGTGATGCATGGCATCGAGGACAGTGAGGCTACCCTGGAGGTTGTGGTGAAAGGTGAGGACCCTCACGGGGATGTCACTTCACCTGCAGAAAGGACCACAGTGGTGACCTCACCAGTGTGGAGTCAGGCAGGCTGCTTTCAAATCCAGCTCCTCCACACACCTGTTTGCCTTAGACAGGTCACAAAAACACCTCAGTTTCTTCCTCTATAACATGGATCTAGTGAAACCATTCTCTGTGGACTTTGGGGCAGGGTGGATTAAGTACTTCCTGGCCACAGTCACAGGTAAATGACCCTTGTGCTTTATAGCATCCTATGATCCAGTAAGCCTTGTTGACTGCCCTTTTTGCAGGTAAGCAAACTGAGGCTAACTGACTTGCCTTAATTACCCTGGAAATGAGTCAGAGCAGTCTCCTGACACTTCACCCAAGTATCTTTTCCCTTCTCCTCCTCCCACTCCTTCATTCTCGGTTCCAGAAGCAAAAAAAAGGACTGAAGAGTCTTGGCCCCCTTTCTCTCACAGGGCTCCCACTAGGATACCTCCCAGGGTGAAGATGTAGGGGGCCCTGAGTGTCTCTTTCCCCAAAATAATATAGGATCCTGGGGTGACAAGAAAAAAAATATATGGAGGCAGGTTTTAGTTTAGTTCAAAGAACATTCTGATTATCAGAATCATCATAAGTATTCAAAAGGGAATGCCAGGCACAGTGACACAAGCCTGTAACCCCAGCCACTCCAGAGGATCGCAAGTTCAAGGCCATCCTTAGCAACTTAGACCCTGTCTCAATTTTTTTTTTTAAAAAAAAGGGGTGTGGGGCTGGGGATGAAGTTCAGTAGCAAAGTAGGTTCACTCCTCCATGCAAAAAAAAAGTGGGGTACCGTATGAGGTAGCGATTCCCTGTTACTGTGAGTGTTCCAGCAAGATCAGGACCACACAAAATTGTGGAGAGGGGATCCGTGCCTCGACCTGGACTGGATAGTTCCTAAGGTCCCTTTGATTGTTTCCATAATCCTGGGAAGGCCTCAGTGATCAGAGGCTGCTCCTGACAGCTCTCCCGCCTCGTCTGTGGCAGGCATCGTGTTCCACTACAGAGCCATCTCCACGCGCTACACCCTGGACTTTGACAGGGCGCAGAGGGCCTGCCTGCAGAACAGCGCCATCATCGCCACACCTGAGCAGCTGCAGGCTGCCTATGAGGACGGATTCCACCAGTGTGACGCAGGCTGGCTGGCTGACCAGACTGTGAGGTGAGCTCACAGCCCCCAACAGAGCTGGCGTCTGGGCTGGGGGCTAGGGGTCAGAGGACATAGCACAGCGAGGCAGGTGCCTGGTAGACACTGAGCTCATGCCAAAGTGACACTGTAGCCAGCCTTGGTTAGGGGCCACGGTCCCACCTTGGCTGACATGAGCACCCAATGTGTAAGACTAGAAAAACGCTGCACCACACGACACAGAGTTTTCCCACTTTATTACAAAAGGCTGTGTGTTTATATAGGTCTAAGGAGAGGTTGCAGGGCTGAGGTAGATAACAGGTCGCCCGTTTATTGGCAAGCTCTTCCATATGTCAGTTCCAGAGCCCAAGAAGTTAATTCTAATTGGGGCTAAGGCTTCCCACCAGCAGGGTTTGAACATTGGCGCCAGAGGGAACGTTTCGCGCCAGTGAAAGAAACAAAGAAGAGAAGGAGGGTCGTTAGACGCCATGCTGGGGTTTTTCTCTGGGATGCGGCTGCCGTTATGTTTTCCCAACACAATGTCCCCTCCCAAATCCTTGCCATTCTATCCTAGTGGAGTGGTGGCTGGCTTGCCCTGGGTTGTCATTATCCCTGCCCGGTTTCCCTTTAACCAAGGTTTCTGCACGTTTTGGTTTTTTATTTTAACTTTGGTGTTTTATATATTTTTATAAGCCACCTTATATCCTTTTTGTTTTTAATAAGGCTAGACATGCATAAATGAAGCTTCTTTACATCTTTGGAATGCAGCCTGGGGCAGTGGATGGCAGTGCATGCAGATAGCTCCCTGCCCTCGGGGGATTTCAGTGCAGCCAGAGGCCTGTGGAGACAAGAAGTTCTATTCCACTCCAGTGGATCATAGCTTCAGTTCCTAAAGCCAGAAACACAAAGCATCAGGAAGGAAGCCATGGGAAGCAGTTTTGCAATCTTGGGTGGGCAAAGAGACCTTGGGATACAAAAACTACTAATAATCAAAATAAATAAACATACAAACAGAGACTACAGTCTAGCATAGAGAAAAGCCCATACCTTGCTACACTCAAATTCAAAATTAGACTCAAATTCTAGCACTGGCACCTGAGATCAATGTGACCTTGAACAAATTGTTTAAGATCTCTGGGTCTCAGTGTCTCTGGGTCTCTGAATAGCACTTGCCTCATTAGGTTGATGTGAGACTCAAATGATATAGAGCAGGAACCAACTATGGCCCACCAGCCAAATCTAACTCACCCCTTTCTTCTGTAAATAAAGTTTTTATTGGGACCCAGCCACGCTCACTGGGTTCCTTATTGATTACGTCTGTTTGTGCTACTAAGGTAGTTAAGTTAGCATCACAGAGACCCTAAGGCCTGCAAAACATAAGATATTTACTCTCTGACCTTTTACAGAAAGTTTGTGAGCACCAAAGAGTGTATGTTTGCATCAATAACTATTCAATAAAGGGGACTGCCCTTAATCACTAATAACAGTAAAAAACAGTTCACATATTCAGAGTAGACACAGTCAAATGTAATATTACGTTGCTGTTTCATCCTATAAGGAAGGAAGCTACAAGAGCCCAGGCCTTGGGCTTCCCACTGTCTCAAGTGACACTCCTCACTTTGGATTCCTGGCAGGTACCCCATTCACACCCCCCGGGAAGGCTGCTATGGAGACAAGGATGAGTTTCCAGGTGTAAGAACCTATGGCATCCGAGACACCAATGAGACCTACGATGTGTACTGTTTCGCCGAGGAGATGGAGGGTGAGTGTATCCCCCCACCAGGAGGAAGCTCGCCATCCCTGTCACCAAACTGACCGACACTCATCCCCCCACACAAGGGCCACACAGACCTGCTATGGGCCAGGGCACTAGCTCAGGGCCTGACTCAATCCTTCTCTGCCATGAAGGAAGAGTAGGAAGGGCCTACTGGTCTGGACCCCTCCATGTCCACTTTAGAGAAGGTCTCAGTAGCCCTAAGCTTCTATAAACTGTCCAGAGTCACCACTGGGCACCAAAACCCTTGCTACAGGAATACTCACCTGGGACTCTGCCTCCTAGCCAGGACCCAGTTGCTCTGGTCAGCCCATCCCCATCCTAAGGACTGCTGTATCTTCAAAGCCCAACCCAGGTCTGGGATGTAACTCAGTAGTACATTGCCTAATTAGCATGTGGCCCTGATCCAGTTGCCAAGAAGAAGGAGGTGTACTGCTGGTGGTCATAAAAAAAAAAAAATAGCTCAGCCTTATCACCCTCATAAGAGAGCCTCCTGGCCAATCCAGGGTAAGCCCAATGGACACCTAGTTTTCAGGAGAGCTGGTCCCTCAGCCACCTTCTTTCTGCTTCCCTATTGCCGGTCTCAGACCCTATTCCAAACTTTCCTGTTGGGTTAATTGTGGGGAGGAACTTGGATTCTTTGTTTTGTAAAGGGCATTAATTTTGGTCACAAGGGTCACACCAGCATGTGGATGACACTCCTTCCCCCATCTGCACCCATTTACCCTCTGGACATTCCAGACTCTGTCACCTCTGCACAGGCACTTACATACATACCGCAGCCCCAAGCTCGCCGCTCCTTCAGGCTGGAGAGAAGAGCAGACATGGCCCCTTCCTCCATCTCACCCCAATAGTCAAACCCATCTATTAGGTAATGTGTACTTGTACTCTCACCTTTGTCTAACCAAAGATAAATAGAACTGCCAATCAGAACTGTCACTGTGAAAAAGCACTCAGAATGGTCCTGGTGAGTGGGTGTCCACAGCCCTACCCTAAATCTCCAATATACCCTTGATAAGTTTGGGTAAATATTTTTTAAGCTTGCAGGCCCCAAATTGTGCCATGATGGCCTCTTCACAACCTAGAGACCCCAGTTTGGGAAGCACTATTCTAAGAAGTCAAAGTCTGGTGCCTGTTTTTCCCATCAGAATTAGATTTTTTTTTTTTTTTTTTAAGGATTTGCTGAGTGGGTAATCCCTGAGCTCATAGGACAGCTCCCCTAGTGTTTAAAAGTTGTACAGCAAATGGTGGGGCAAAGATGCTTCTGACCAGGAAAGATTTTCCTCCTGGATTTCCCATTACCCCACCCTTGGATCCACCCCTTGTGTTTTGGTGGACTTCTTTCTACAGCTCCTTGTTTAAGAAATTGACATCATCCTGCCCAAAAGCCCAGAAAAATATGGGAAATGAAGGGCAAAATCTGAGATACGGACGTGTGGGTGTGGATCCAGGATTTGGGGAAGTTAGAGACCAAACTGAGTCAGAGGACTAATCTGCAGGAAAGACCCCAATCTCTCTCAGAGGACATGGGACAGGGGAGGCAGGAGGAAGATCTTTACTCAGCTTGCTGTGTCCTTCACAGGTGAGGTCTTTTATGCAACCGCTCCAGAGAAGTTCACCTTCCAGGAGGCAGCCAACGAGTGCAAGAGGCTGGGCGCCCGGCTAGCCACCACCGGCCAGCTTTACCTGGCCTGGCAGGGTGGCATGGACATGTGCAGCGCCGGCTGGCTGGCAGACCGCAGCGTGCGCTACCCCATCTCCAAGGCCCGGCCCAACTGCGGGGGCAACCTCCTGGGCGTGAGGACCGTCTACCTACACGCCAATCAGACGGGCTACCCCGACCCCTCATCCCGCTACGACGCCATCTGCTATACAGGTGGGGCTGGGATTGGGAGCGGGAAGGGGACTTGCGCCAAAGAAAAGATCTTGGAAAGTGAGGGCTGGGTTTTACCCCTTGAAAAGGCCCCTGGGTACTTAACTCCAAGCTTTTGCCACCCTTACGCCCCTTTTCATTGGTTTTGAAGGTGGAGACACTGGAGGCTGCAGTGTCTCCAGTCCTTTCTCATCAGATCTTCACAGAACAGGGGTAAAAACATGTGCGTTAGACTCTGCGTTTTATCGGGTTTGAATCACAGCTCTACCAACTACTGCTGCACAACTCTGGGAAAGACAAGGCCCTGACCCTCCCTCTGAGCCTCAATCTCATTATCTAATGGGGACATAGTGGTACCGCTTCAAAGATGATGGGGGCCTGTTATGAGGCCATGATCCCACAGGAGGGCGCTGTTATCTGCCCTTTAAAATTGCACTTAAAAGGAAAAACCAAGTGTTACTGAAAGAGTAGGAAAACATTGGAGAAGAGGATGTCATTTTTAAAAAATAGATTAAAATAAGTTTTTATTTTATTGAACACACGTTAGGTTGTAATTATAATTAATTGCTAATTCTTGGAGAAAAGAAATGAATAATATGGATGAGGAGCTGCATCAATTTTACAACAGAATTAAATGACAACTCAGTTCATATTTCACTTCCATAGCCTGATCTAACACAAAGAGGGTAGTTTTGCAAAAATAATTCATATCCCCCCCAAAGCTTTTCTTATCTTTTTGATAATCTATCCACTCTCTGGAAGTATTGTGAATTTTCTCTTTATTAACTAACTGGCTTCTTTCTGAAAACGCCTTATTTGTCTGTGCCAAGGCAGGCAGTTCCCTGGCACCACCTTCATCAATTTCCTGATCTCACCTTCTGCAAGATTTTTACATTTTTCCTTCACAACTGACATAAAATGTCCCGGTGGACACTCAGTGGGTAGTCACAGATGGGCAAAATGGCAACTGCTGATGAATAGGAAGGGATGTCCTGGTGGGAGCTGATTTTATGAAAAGTAAGCTGGCAGGTCATTATCTTGCAAGTATCCATGGGTATCCGCACATTGAAAAAAACCTCAGATTGAAAAAAATGGGACAGGTATATTGCATCTGTTCTGAACATGTGCTGACATTTTTCTTGTCTTTATTCCCTAAATAATACAGTATAACCATCATTTACATAGCATTTACACTGTATTAAGGATTATAAATAAGCTAGATTTAAAGTGTACAGAGGATGTGCATAGGTTATATACAAACAGTATGCATTTTATATAAAGGACTTGAGCATCTGCAGGTTTCGGTATATATGGTAAGTTCTGAAAGAAATTCCCATGGATACCAAGGGATGACTGTAGTCAGAGAGCTGAGGATGCCCCTGCCATGTGCTACACAAGGTGCCTGGCACCCTGCAGGTACTCTCCTTCCCAGGAGGGAAGGAGGCAGAGCGAAGCTCATCTCTCATCCCTCTCAAGCCAGGCTGAGCAGTTAAAGCTCATCTTTGTCCCCACCCCAGGTGAAGACTTTGTGGACATCCCAGAAAATTTCTTCGGGGTAAGTGGTGAGGAAGACATCACCGTCCGGACAGTGACCTGGCCCGATGTGGAGCTGCCCCTGCCCCAAAACATCACGGAGGGGGAAGCCCGAGGCAACGTGATCCTCACTGTAAAGCCCATCCTGGACGTATCCCCCACTGTCCTGGAGCCTGAGGAGCCCTTCACATTTGTCCCTGATGTGGGAGCTACCGCCTTCCCCGAGACTGAGAATGGGACTGGAGAGGCCACCAGGCCCTGGGGCTTTCCTGAGGAGTCCACATCTGGGCTGGGCTCTGTCACAGCCTTCACCAGCGAGGACTTGGTGGTGCAGGTGACTGTTGCCCCTGGTGAAGCCGAGGTCCCTGGGCAGCCCCGTTTGCCAGGGGGTAAGTACCCACCTGTTCCGGGGGAGGCTCAAGGGCAAGCAGAAGGAACTTGGCCTGGGGACCCACCCCAATACCCTTTCAACTTAACCTGGAACCTGGGACAGCCTCTCTCCTCTCAAGCTTTTCTCTCTTGGTCTCAAACAAAGAGGTTAGAGCAGACCAGTCATGTCCACTCTTTGCCACAAATCACTTACTTCAAAGGAAGTCATATGTGTAAAACAGGGTTATATGTCAAATAGATTAAAGTGCCACATGGCCCTAAGAAAAGTGGAGAGGAGCACTGGGGCCCCTCCCTGCCCATCAGGCACCTCCACAGCAGAGGCCCCCTTAGAAATCCTGCACTGGGTGACCCTGAGGCCCCTCCTGGTCTTGTCCTCCCTGCCATGACAATGATCCGCAAACTGGTCAATGGGCCAAAATCCTGCTGCTCTTATAAGCCCCATGAACTAAGAATAACTTTTACTCCCTAAATAGTTGAGGTGGAGGAAGTCAAAAGAAGAAGAATATTTTGTGATGATTGAAAATTATATCAAATTCAAATTTCAACATTCACAAGTGAAGTTTGATTGGAACTAAGCCATAGCCATTTGTCAATGTGCTGTTGATGGCTAACTAGGACAATCACAGCTGAACTGAGTAACAGAAACCATATGGCCCACAATGCCTGAAATATTGACTACCTGGCCCTTTGTAGAACATGCTTCCAGTCCTGTGCCAGACTGATGGTGCTCCACAGGCTTAGTGAATGTTTGAGGAATTGGGATGTCACAAAGCAGAGAGCCCAGCTGTTCCCCAAACTCAAGTCCATAAAGGAAGGCCCTTCTGGTGGTGTCCCTACCCAGGGGACTGGCAAATGGACCCTGCCATCCGCCATCACATCCACAGTGCCAATCCAACATATCAGAATGGAGGAGCTGGGCTTGGAATGGGCCTAGGGCAACTGACCCTGACTGCTCTCTCCTCTCCTTCTTCACCACCCAGGAGTCGTGTTCCACTACCGCCCAGGATCCACCCGATACTCGCTGACCTTTGAGGAGGCGCAGCAGGCCTGCCTGCGCACAGGGGCCGTCATGGCTTCGCCCGAGCAGCTCCAGGCCGCCTATGAGGCGGGCTACGAGCAATGTGATGCTGGCTGGCTGCAGGACCAGACCGTCAGGTGCAGGGCGAGGCGGGGCGAGGGCGGGGCGGGGATGGGCAGGGCGGAGCCAACCGGGACGGGACCACCCCTCTCCCAGCCTAGCAGCCTCAAGAGGTCTGGCCTAAGGAGCCACATCCCGCAGGACACTCAGCACAGTGGGCACCCTCCAGAACCTTCAATGCTAATTACTTAGTGACTCCAAAGCCACTCCCCAGGCATATTTTCTCCCCTAGGCATATTCTGGAAGGATGATAAGTTCCTATTCATGGAATCAGGAACATAAACAGAACAGACACTCTGGTGGTGCCCACACCTGTGGGAGAGGCAGAAAGACACTGCAGCCACCACCACATCCACAATCCCATCAAGTGGGATTTCGGCCTGAATTTCCAGGCAGGGGACATTCACCCCAAGAGACAGAGAGAGCCCCTGTTCTTGAGGACCCCCTTCTCAAGCACCCCCCTCCCCAGTTCCCTCCAGTTTGACCCTGTGTCCTTCCATGTAGCAGCTTCTCTTCTGAAGTCAGAGATTCCCTTACCCTTCCCCCAGCTGCTCAGCAAACTTGCTACATGAGAGGTGGCTCCTAGTTTCAGCCCATGAGACACCCCAAGACACGTCCTGCCTACATCAGAGTGACCCTGAACCCCAACTCCCAAAACAGGCTCTCATCCTCCCTTCATTTGCAGATACCCCATTGTGAGCCCACGGACCCCATGTGTGGGCGACAAGGACAGCAGCCCTGGGGTCAGGAGCTACGGTGTGCGCCCATCATCAGAAACCTATGATGTCTACTGCTACGTGGACAAGCTCGAGGGTACAGGCTACATTCTCACATTCGGGGCTCTAGATGGGCAGGGGACTGAGAGACAGACACAAAGAGGAGGGGGAATTGCCACCCACTCACTCCATTCCCACTCAGCCTTCCAGGTGGAAAGGATCCTGTTCAAGATGGCACAGCCCTCTCAGTGCAAGTCCCTCTTTCCCTCCTCGATGGTGCATGTGGTTTTCCCAGCACTGCAGGAGAGCACTCACTCCTTTAAAACACAATGAGTTCTATGAATACATAAATTAACTTGTTATAAATAAATGCCACGAAGGTCATAGTATCCCCTGCCTATGATCCCAGCCACTTGGGAGGCTAAAGAAGAAGGATTGCAAATTTGAGGCCAGCCTGGGGAACTTAGCCAGACCCTGTCTCAAGATAAAACAAAAGGGTCTGGGGATGTAGCTCAGAGGCAGAGCACCCCTGGGTGCTCACAGATAATAATATTAGATAAATAAGTGTTATATATTTATATTAGATAAATATATTTATATTATATATATATTTATATTTATATTGGATTATATATTTATATTAGATAAATAAGTGTTAAATATATTAGATAAGTATTATATTGGCCTCTTATAGAATCCCAGTGCCCACGAATGAAACAAAGGCTCTGAGAAGTCCCACAGTGGAAAACCTCCTTGACCCTGTCTAAACTAGCATTGCCAAGCTTATTCAACCGCAGACCTTTATTTTGCTTTATTTCATTTTATTTAATCTCAATGAACATCACCAAATTACTATTCAACTGGAACCAATTGTAGAAATGCTGATGTTCTGGAAATTTTTCAGAATTAGTACTCACTTGATCCAGGACCCTGGGCACTCCTTGTTTATAATGAGGTTGGTTTTTTACCCACACAAGAGGCTTTTTTTGAGTATTGAATAAAACATATATGAAAAGTTGATTGCCCAGGTAGGTGCTGGGTAAATCCTCCTGAACTATATAGGCAGCTAGGTGTGGCGGGGGTGGGTGGGTCCACAGGAATCAGTATCCAGCAAGCCGCTCCCCTTAGCTAGGGCAGGGGGTCCCTGGTGTGACTGAAGAAGCCAGAAAGGAGGGATGGAGTAGAAGCCACTTCCCTGTGGAGTGACCTGCTCCACCCAGCTCTGCTGTGACATTGCCTTCCCATAGAAATCTCATGGAGTCCCAGGAAATCCCAGTCCCTTCGGTCACAAACCAGAGCAATTGGTCACTCTAGTTCCGGTGTCCTAGAGATCTAAGAGATGTGATCGGTGGCAGGTGTCCATCCTCACAAGCAGGATTGGGATGGCAGGGAGCGGCCGTGGGCCTGGAGGGTCACACTCCACCTGCTTCCCCGGCAGGGGAGGTATTCTTCGCGACGCGCCTGGAGCAGTTCACCTTCCAGGAGGCCCTGGAGTTCTGCCAGTCGCAAAACGCCACACTGGCCTCCACCGGCCAGCTCTACGCCGCCTGGAGCCGAGGCCTGGACAAGTGTTATGCCGGCTGGCTGGCGGACGGCAGCCTCCGCTATCCCATCGTCACCCCTCGGCCAGCCTGCGGAGGGGACAAGCCAGGTGTGAGAACCGTCTACCTCTATCCCAACCAGACGGGCCTTCCAGACCCGCTGTCCCGGCACCACGCGTTCTGCTTCCAAGGTATGAGCCCTAACCTCTCATCCAGCATCCCATTCTGCCTCCTGGTGACTCCCCGAGGCTGGCCCTCCTGACCCCTCTCCATCAATCTCCTATCAGAGCAAGGAAGAAAACATCCTGTTGGGACAGGGACAACTCTAAAGTTAGCTGACTTTAGGCTTTGACCCCAAGACAAGGCCATTCTTCTAAATTTTCCCAGAGACAAAGCAAAGTAGATAAAGAACTTTGACTGTAAAATTCAGCAAACCTGACTTTCAATTATGGCTCTGCTATTTAATAGCTGTGTGACCGTGGATAAATGACTTAACCTCTTCTTTTCTCTGCTTCACCTATAAATGGTGATAAAATAGTTTCTGCTTCAAAGAGCATTACATATGAATACAAACAGTTGGGATAGTGCATGCAATGCATTTAAAAATATACATAAATATTTTTAATTTGTAACTCTTGTCAAATTCTCTCCTTCTTGTAAATATTTTTGTGATGAGGTTAATCAAATAATTCTATTATTCTTTATTAAGTACCAGTAATTCACATTTCTAATTAACCCATGCTGTGGACACACTGTCATATCCATCATTAACAATTAGATTTCTAAAAAGGGTATCAAGGAACAGTTGATGGCCAGGGTGTGGCCAAGCACATTGCTGGGCTCTGATCGGATAAGCTCTCACAGTGTTAATATAGGGTCTAGGTGCACTGACCAGATGTAGGTTATAGAAGAGCTTGGGTCATATTTTCCATATTATGCAAATTGAGGGTCTCTGCAACTTTCTGTGGCTGTATACTTATTTCCAAATAAAATTAAGAGGAAAAAAAAAGAGACCCCAAAATTTAAAATCCTATTCAAATTTCAACCTCTTTTGTAGTTTGGATGTCTCCCAAAGAACCATGTGTTGAAGGCTTAGTCTCTAGGTGGTGGTCCTATTGAGAGGTAGTGGAAATTTTAGAAAGTGGGGCCCAGTTGGAGGAAGTCGATCACTGGAGATGTGACTTTGAAGAGTATTTTGGGAACCCAGGCCCTTCCCCACTGCCTGCCTCCTGACTGCTGTGAGGTAAGCAGCTTTGCTCTGCCACACCCTCCCTGCCATGTCATTTCTGCCTCACCACAAGCCACAGCAGTGGGGCCAAGCAACGGAGGCCTAAAAACAACTGGAATTTTCTGTGTTAGTCAGCTTTCCTTTGCTGTGACAAAGCATCCGAGAAAACCAACTTAAAGGAGGAAAGATTTATTTGGCTCATAGTTTCAGACCCTGGTCAGCTGGCTCCATTGTTCCAGGCCTGTGGTGAGGCAGAATATCATGGCAGAAGGGCTCACCTCATGGCAACTGGAAAACAGAAAGCAGGAAAGGGGCCAGGGACAACAATGCCTTTCCAAGGCGAGCCCCCCAGTGGCCTCCGTCCTCCAACCAGACCCATCTCCTACAGTTTCCACACCTCCCAATAGTGGAAACTGATCAGTGGGGTGATACATTGATGAGGTCAGAGCCCTTGTGATCCAATCACTTGGATCTGAATGTTGCTGCAGTGGGAACCACGCCTTCAACACATGAGCCTGAGGGGGACATTTCATACCCAAACCATAAGAGCCCCCATGGGGTCAGGTTCAAGAACACCAGTCCCCTCCCTGGAGCTCATGAGGCTCTTGGCCCAGGACCTATCTCTACTCTGGGTAACAGAAGCCAAGCCAGTTGGTTTTCCAGTAAATTCCCAGCCGTAAACCCTTCTCCCCTGACCCCTGACCCTCAGTGGACTTGGCCTTTTATATTCTCCTGCAGAGAAGTTGAGTTTCCTTCCTACACTTCCCCAATCTGCTGGTTTCCCCCAAACCATAAGAATTCCCCTCACAGTTGATGAATATTTCCTTCCCTCCTCCAAATACCAGGATGGCTGCATGAAATTTAAACATCTCCTTCCTGTTCTTGGTCCTGACACACTTGGGACATAATGTCTCTCCCCAGTAGAAGCAGCATGGTCTGATACCAGATGCTTGGATTCTATCTGCCACTTCTAAGTCACTGACCCTGAGCAAGAAATATAACTCTGAGCTTCATTTGTAAAAAAGGGAGTAGAATCTATTCCACTCTGATCTAGACCACCGATGGGTATGTGCGATTATAAATGGTACACCTGGCTCTTATTAGCTGAGATGGCAGGAGCCATCTTGCAGAACTGAAGGCTGGGTAGCCAGTAAGGCTCTCATGCCAGCTGATCCACCTCAAATTCCCCTAACTCCTCTCAAGGGATGGGTCACTGGCCAGCAGGGGACCCTCATCACCCACGTTCTCTTCAGGTGCATCAATGGTGACCTCTCCAGGAGAAGAGGAGGTCAGAACTCCCACAGCACCCACTGACGTGGAGGACTGGATCATTACCCAAGTGGGACCTGGTGTGGCTGCTGTCCCCATAGGAGAGGAGACAACTGCTGTCCCAGTCTTCACCACTGAGCCAGAAAATCAGACAGAATGGGAACCAGCCTACACCCCAGTGGGCACATCCCCACTGCCAGGTCTGTGTGGGTGGGCTCAGGGCACATCCTGCAGTTGTACATCCCTATCTGCCTGGGTTGTGCCTGGGGGCAGGGGGGCGGTTACTTCCCCCTGGGACCTGGGTTCCTAGGACATGCCCCGGAGTGACAACAAGGCCTTGTGTATAAAACACCCCACACACATGTCCACTGTACTCTTTCCTTTATTTCTCCTGCAGACATCCCCAATGCCTAGCACTGGGCCCATCAGAAGACTCTCAGTCATTCTGTCCTCTTGCATGGACACTCCTACCCTAACCTTTTCCATCTTTAGATCCTTTAGAAGGATTTCCAATAGGGGAGAAAGAACAAAGGAGAGGGTAACTACTGCAGGTCTGACTGTGACCTCTCTACTCGACTTTCTCCTCCTTCCATGTCCCTCCTCTGGATCAGGCCTCCCCAGCCAAGACTTCCTAAACTCTGAAATCAGATGGGACCTAGTAGGATGAAAGAAACAGTCCCAAAACCTAGTCAGAAGTGTTTTGTGGTCACCAAGGTTTGGGAAGTCCTGGCTTACTGAAAGACTAACAGCTTTCCTCGCTGCCAACCCTCTCAAGTCTTTGATAAGCTAAGGTGCACTGTCATTCTCAGAGAAGAGGTGATGTATGCAGGGTGTCACAAGTAAACCTGATCACAGAGACTTTATTTATTTTCATGGAAGCTTGTTAACATTTAGTGGCTCACAGCACTGGAACACGGATTGAAGTGGTCTACACCATGCGTGTGCCTAGTGCAGTCGGCTCCACAGGGACTGGTGCATCTGAAGAAAAGACCTTCAGAGCTTCCCAATAGTTCATTCAGCCACTCATTCTCCTCGTGGGTCCTCAGCAATTTGGCAGAACTGGGTGCTTCTCTGGAGGCTGAAAATGCAAAGTTCGTTCCCTCCATGCCAAAAGATGAGGATTCAACTCTAGGTGGGATTCTAGCCTCAAGACTTCACCCAACAGCCACACCTGCCTATGGCCCTTTCCTTGCCCCTCACCAGGAAAAGAATAGCTGGGTCCTCTTGGGCGGGAGGGTGTGGCTTGGCCCAGGACTCTGGCCACTATTCATGGGAAGTTATCCATGGGAAAGTGCTCCAGCAGCCTTGTAGACAAGTTTAACTTCAGTTCCTGACCACCTTGCTGATTTCAGCTATATCTGGGACTGTCTGAACTATTGTTCATGCCACGACTTTTTCTTTCAATTGACTTGCTTTTTAAACGACACCTAAATGTATTTAAAAGAGAAATGTTATATTATGACTGCAAATGGTCATGCCAGTGGTTTCTGAGATATGTATATTGTGTGTGTGTGTGTGTGTGTAAATCAAAATAGAACTTTTTCTGGGTCCTACCTGTAATCATCCAGTATGCTACTGTACTTCACTACCCACACCCTCCAAAGTTTTCTTCTGAGAAAGAGGGGACTGTGAGCCTACCCAGAGGATCAGATGCATCTTTCCCCAGAAGTATGTGTAAGGTTCAAACCTAGCTATGTTGTTTTTATTTTTATTTTTTTAGTTGTTGATAGACCTTTTTTTTTTTTAAATTTATATGTGGTGCTGAGAATTGAACCCAATGCCTCATACGTGCTAGGCAAGTGCGCTACCGCTGAGCCCCAGCCCCAGCCCCGCTATTTTGTTTTTAAATGGCAAAGAATATAAGACTGAAAGAAAAGAATGTAACCATGATTATTTAGAATGATGAGGGTTTTTTCTTTTCTGTTTTTCAAATCCTCTGTAATGGGGATCTCAGAATTGAAAAGGGAATGTGTGTTTACAAATAGCACTACACCGGCTCTGCCAGCTTCATTCTGTCGTCCTCATGTCCCGGCTTATGGACATGATGAGCTGGGCCCACCCCAGAGCCTCTGTCAGCCAGGCTGGGCTAGGGTCTGGGAATTTGCTTCTCTATCAGGTCCCCAGAGGCTGCTGGTGCTGCTGGTCCAGGGATCAAAATTACATGAGATGATAAAGTGGAAGTACTTGAAGGGTGACCTTGGTCGTCTTCAGTGATGGCCCACACATCCAATGGTTTGTGTGGATGGCAGCCTCTACAGTCTCACAAAACACAGGCTGTGAAGGCCTGTGTCCCTGAGGGTAGTGTGGGAGCTTCCTTGTGCCCCTGCTTCTCCCTGCTTCCTTCCCTCTCTTGTCCTCCCTTCCTACTCCCCTTTCCAAGACACTTAAGGATTTCTGAATTCTGGGGAGGAAGGTTTTACTGTGGAAGGACTAGAGTTCAGTTTCAGAGTTACTAAGCCCACACCTCACCTTGTTTCCTCCTTTCCTCCAGGGATCCCTCCCACATGGCCTCCCACTAGTACAGCAACAGAGGAAAGCACAGAAGGCCCTTCTGCAACTGCAGTGCCCTCTGCCCCAGAAGAGCCTTTCGCCTCGGAGGAGACCTACACACCTGCCCATGTCAGGCCAAGTGGGATGGAACTGCCAGGCTCTGGGGAAGTATCTGGAGCCCCTGACATCAGCGGTGACTTCACAGGCAGTGGAGAAGCTTCAGGACGCCTTGACTCCAGTGGGCAGCCCTCAGGGGTCAGTGCAAGTGGACTACCCTCTGGAGACCTTGATTCCAGTGGTATCACCTCCACAGTGGGCTCAGGCCTGCCTGTGGAAAGTGGACTGTCCTCAGGAGATGAAGATAAAATTGAGTGGCCTACCACTCCTAAGGTTGGTGGGCTACCCTCTGGAGGTGAGGGCTTAGAGGGCTCTGCCTCTGGAATAGGGGACCTCAGCAGGCTTCCTTCTGGAGAGGAAGTTCTAGAGACTTCTGCCTCTGGAGTAGGGGATCTCAGTGGACTTCCTTCAGGAAGAGAAGGTCTAGAGACTTCTGCCTCTGGAGTTGAGGAGGTCAGTGGGCTTCCTACTGAAAGCGAAGGCCTAGAGACTTCTACCTCTGGAGTAGAGGACCTCAGTGGGCTTCCTACTGAAAGTGAAGGCCTAGAGACTTCTACCTCCAGAGTAGAGGACCTCAGTGGGCTTCCTACTGAAAAAGAAAGTCTAGAGACTTCTGCCTCAGGAGTAGAAGATATCAGTGGGCTTCCTTCAGGAGGAGAAGGTCTAGAGACTTCTGCCTCTGGAGTAGAGGAGGGCAGTGGGCTTCCTACTGAAAGCGAAGGCCTAGAGACTTCTACCTCTGGAGTAGAGGACCTCAGTGGGCTTCCTTCTGGAGGAGAAGTTCTAGAGACTTCTACCTCTGGAGTAGAGGACCTCAGTGGGCTTCCTTCTGGAGGAGAAGTTCTAGAGACTTCTGCCTCTGGAGTAGAGGACCTCAGTGGGCTTCCTTCTGGAGGAGAAGTTCTAGAGACTTCTGCCTCTGGAGTAGAGGAGGTCAGTGGGCTTCCTTCAGGAGGAGAAGGTCTAGAGACTTCTGCCTCTGGAGTAGAGGAGGTCAGTGGGCTTCCTACTGAAAGTGAAGGCCTAGAGACTTCTACCTCTGGAGTAGAGGACGTCAGTGGGATTCCTACAGAAAAAGAAGGTCTAGAGACCTCTGCCTCTGGAGTGGAGGACATCAGTGGGCTTCCTTCTGGAATAGGAGGTCTAGAGACTTCTACCTCTGGAGTAGAGGACATCAGTGGGCTTTCTTCTGGAGGAGAAGTTCTAGAGACTTCTGCCTCTGGAGTAGGAGATGTCAGCAGGCTTCCTACTGGAAGAGAAGGTCTAGACATTTCTGCCTCTGGCATAGATGATGAACTTAGTGGTGGACTTCCTTCTGGAAGAGAAGATATAGAGATTTCTGCTTCTGGAGTAGGAGAAGATATCAGTGGACTTCCTTCTGGAAGGGAAGGTCTAGAGACCTCAACTTCTGGAACTGAAGAAACCTCAGAAGGATTACCTTCTGGAACAGAAGATTTGGTGGGGTCTGCTTCTGGAACCTTGGTCTTTGAAAAGCTGCCTTCTGGAACTGTAGGAAGTGGACAAGCTCCAGAAGAAAGTGGCCTTCCCTCTGGATTTAGTGGTGAGTATTCTGGAGTGGACCTTGGAAGTGGCCCATCCTCTGGCCTGCCTGATTTTAGTGGACTTCCATCTGGATTTCCAACTGTTTCTCTAGTGGATACTACATTGGTAGAAGTGGTCACAGCCTCCACTGCAAGTGAACTGGAAGGGAGGGGAACCATTGGCATCAGTGGTGCAGGAGAAATATCTGGGCTGCCCTTCAGTGAACTGGACATTAGCGGGGGAGAAAGTGGACTCCCTTCAGGAATTGAACTCAGTGGTCAAACATCTGGGTCTCCTGACATCAGTGGAGAAACATCTGGATTCTTTGGTGTTAGTGGACAGCCATCTGGGTTTCCTGACATCAGTGGGGGAACATCTGGCATTTCTGAGGTCAGTGGGCAGCCATCAGGGTTTCCTGACACCAGTGGGGAAACATCTGGAGTGACTGAGCTTAGTGGACTATCTTCTGGACAACCAGATGTCAGTGGAGAAGCATCTGGAGTTCTTTTTGGCAGCATCCCACCATTCGGCATAACTGACCAGAGTGGAGAAACATCCGGGGTTCCTGATCTCAGTGGGCAGCCATCAGGAATAACACCCAGAATCCCGGACCTGGTTTCTGGCACCATGAGTGGCAGTGGGGAATCTTCTGGAATTACATTTGTGGACACCAGTTTGGTTGAAGTGACCCCTACTACATTTAAAGAAGAAGAAGGCTTAGGGTCAGTGGAACTCAGTGGTCTCCCTTCTGGGGAGACAGATCTGTCAGGCACATCTGGGGTAGTGGATGTCAGTGGACAATCTTCTGGAATAATCGATTCCAGTGGGTTTACATCCCAGTCTCCAGAATTCAGTGGCCTACCAAGTGGAGTAACTGAGGTCAGTGGAGAAACTTCTGGAGCTGAGATTGGGAGCATCCTGTCTTCAGGAGGATATGATGGCAGTGGACTTCCATCAGGTTTCCCAACTGTCTCTCTCATAGACAGAACTTTGGTGGAATCTGTAACCCAGGCTCCAACAGCCCAAGAAGCTGGAGAAGGACCTTCAGGCATTTTGGAACTCAGTGGTGCCCATTCTGGAGCACCAGACATGTCTGGAGACCATTCTGGATCTTTGGACCTCAGTGGACTGCAATCTGGGATGGTGGAACCCAGCGGAGAGCCATCAAGCACTCCATATTTTAGTGGGGACTTTTCAAGCACTGCTGAAATAAGCGGAGAATCCTCTGTAGCCACAAGCACGAGTGGAGAGGCCTCAGGTCTTCCAGAAGTTACTTTAATCACTTCAGAGTTCATGGAGGGTGTAACTGAACCAACTGTTGTTTCCCAGGAACTCGGCCAAAGATCCCCTGTGACATACACACCCCAGCTTTTTGAGGCCAGTGGGGAAGCCTCTGCCTCTGGGGACATTAGTGGGGCTACACCAACGTTCCCCAGTTCTGGAGTAGAAGCATCATCAGTCCCAGAAGCCAGCAGTGAATTGTCTGCCTATCCTGAGGCTGAAGTGGGAACATCTGCTGCCCCAGAGGCCAGCGGAGAGGCCAGTGGAGAGGTGTCTGGGGCCTCTACTCTGCAGGAAACCACCTCTGCCTTGCATGAAGCTGATCCCGAGAAAGCCTCGGGCCTGGGGGTGAGCAGCAGCCCTTGGGCTTTTCAGGAAGGCTCCATGGAGGGGTCTGCTGCTCCTGAAGTGACCAGAGAGTCAACCATCACCTATGATGTGGGCACAGAGGCATCTGGCATGCCTTCAGCCTCTCCTGTGACTTCTGGGGACAGGACTGAAATCAGTGGAGACCTGTCTGGTCAGACCTCAGGGATGGATATTGTCATCAGCACCAGCATCCCAGAATCTGAATGGAACCAGCAGACCCAGCGCCCTGCAGAGGCACATCTAGAAATCGAGTCCTCAAGTCCCTTGTTCTCAAGAGAAGAGACCCAAACAGCTGGAACAGCCACCTCCCCAACAGATGCTTCCATCCCAGCTTCCCCAGAGGGATCGGGTGAAGCAGAGTCCACCGTTTCAGGTATTGTTGTTTTTCATCCTTTAAATGTGTCTGGACAGCTGTACTGTAGAAAGACACTGTGGAGCTTTAAGTTTCCAAGCACAGTTCCACCACAGATTAGCTGTGCAGCCTCAGGCAAGAGTTTTAACTTCTCTGAGCTTTCCTTCTATAAAATGAGAATAGTACCAAGAAAACTAAACAGCATATAAATATAGATAAAGCAAGCATTATATTTTGCACACAATACACCCTCACAAAGATTAGTGACTGTTACCCTAACAGTGGAGTTACATCACATGAGCATTTATGTGTGAATTCAGCTGTGTGTACTTGGCACAGGGAAAAAAGGGCGATTTAGAAAGTCCTGGAAATTCTGTTCATGCATCATGCCCCAGGGTGAGTGTGAGAGAAGAGAGTGAATCTGCTGATGACATTTTTAATGTCTGATTATGTGTTTTGTGTAAGACTAAAACCTGCATAATTTAGGGAACTATGAAGTGCTATTTTGGCCATGTCCCAACTTTAGACTCTGAGTCCTCACCTACCCCAGGAAGGGACTCCCTAGATGACTGTGATTGCCTCACCTCCACACAGTCCTAGGAACCGGGCACCTGGCAAGTAGCTGCTTTCCCTTTGCTTTTTGTTTGGGGATTCCTTGACCCTCCCACGGGGCTAAGAGAGCGTTCATAGTCAGCAAAAGAGTCCCCACCCCCAGATGCTGGGGGCCAAGTGCCGAGAAACAAGCTGACCCAAAGCCACCCTCCTGGAGTTTAGGGATCTCATGACCCAGCTGCACAGTCTTGGAGACTGCATTGGCACCAGGTGGCTGTGTTCTTGATACTCAGCCTCTTCCCTGGGGTTGAAGCCCCTGCCAGGTCCTGTGCAGAGGAGCCCTGTGGTGTTGGAACCTGCCAGGAGACAGAGGGACGTGTCATATGTTTTTGCCCCCCTGGCCACACTGGCGAGCACTGTGACATAGGTAAGAGCCTTGTGGGGTATGGGGGTGTGGGTAGGGACACTGGATAGACTGACTCCTTCGTCCCCAGAAGGGGCCACAGGCAAGAGGAGATGACCATGGTCAACTGTAGCCTCAGGCTTTGCAGACTAGGAAGGAGAGGTCGGCAGCAGCAGAGTGTCAGGGGTCACAGCCTCACAAACACAGCTTCCCAGAGCATCTAGTGGACAAGACGGTTTAGGAGAAAAAAAGTTAAGTTAAATAATTAGGCAAGCAAGTAGTTTGTTTTCTATCAGGCCAAAGGCTACTCTATGAGTGCTTGAATTTTGAAGATAAAAAAGAGCCCTCCAAGAAATGTTGAACTTGGGGTGAGTATTGGTACCCCTGGACACGTCCCTCTGTCTCTCAAGGGGGCTGTTTTGTATCATGCAGGGTGAGCTCCACTGAGAAAGTCTCTGTGGCTCCCTAGTGTTTGGGTCTGGATGGCATCTGAGTCCCCTTCCTGTCCTGAAGGAAATAATACAGTGCTTGTCACACCCAGCAGTGTGTTTCCCACGGGCACCCATTGCTCTGGAAGCTCTGTTGGTTCGATGCCATGGTCAAGCAGCCTGTGGGACGGGTAAGGAACCTGGGGCTCCTCTGATTGGAGGTGGTTAGAATCCACCTGTCATTCTGTGGACACATCCAAGGCCTGAGGCCACGATGACATCTTATCTCTTCAACATTAAAGAGGTACCCGGTTACCGCCAAGATCCTGTGCTTGGGTTAGCTCTTTCCACGGCCCAGTGCCCTTGTTCCTAGCTTCTCTCTCTAGTCAGGGTCTTTCACAAAAGGGCTTTATTCCTAGAACATGCCCAAAATTGGAGAATGGAATTCCAGGGGCAGAAAACAACCACTTCCAGGTTTGCCAGGCAAATCCTGCTAGGTACCTAGCACCCAATAGCCTTTACATCATCCCCAAAGGCTCTGAGTCTGGATATGTGACTATATGTGAAAATTAACATATCATTATATATTAGATACTCATATGTACTGTGTGGCTGGCACTTCTATAGTAAATATGTACAAGCATTAGGGCAGATAGCATCTGTTCTTTCCCCCTCTGGGGTCAGTCTCTGCCCATAAGTCAGAGCTGGAAACTAAGGACACTCTGGGCCTCCAAGACCAGAGCGGGTGAGCTCTCCTTACTGCCCAAGGGATAATTTTTTCATGGGCTATAGTGACCCCAGGAACTGTAGCCAAATGTCTCAAACCGGGGATGACTCTATTCTTGTGGTCAGGGGGCAGTTACTGGGGACTGAACCCAGCTACTTTCCACCATTGAGCTACATCCCCAACCCTTTTTTTTTTTCGGGGCGGGGGGAAGCTCTTAATTTTTTACTTTGAGACAAGAGCTTGCTAAGTTGCTGAGGCTGGCTGGCCTTAAACTTACAATCCTCCTGTCTCAGCATCCTGAATAGCTAGGATTACAGGCATGCACCAACGTGCCTAGCCATTCCTTCCCAAACCTGATACTTGAGGCAAAAATGTGACACTAGTATCAGAAGTCAAGCAAGGCTCATGTCCTCAGCAGCCCTGAAGTTAGTAAAATCAGATGACAGTAAAACTTAACTACTCTATTATAAGGGCAGCCTTTCTCTGATCTTGCATATTTCCTCAGGGCTCTCCCAAGATTTCTTCCCCAACAGCTCTATGAGCAGGTTGGTAATTATTCCTATTTGAAACTGGAAAGAAGAGAGGTTAATTCATTTGCCTGAATCCACTATATGAGTTGAATCAAGGATCAAGGTCTGAGTTCACTTTTTTAGCACACTGGGCTAAATTAGAAACTGCCTCTTAAACATAATAACAAGTTGCTGGGCATAATGGCACATGCTTGTAATCCCAGAACTCGGGAAGCTGAGGCAGGAGAATCTCAAGTTCAAGGCCAGCCTCAGCAATTTAGCAAGGTCCCAAGCAACTGAGGGAGACTCTGTCTCAAAAAAAAATTTTTTTAAATTTTTAAAGTGGAGCTGGGGATGTAGTCAGTGGTAAAGTATCCAGGGTTCAACCCCCACTACCAAATAAATAAATAAATAATAACAACAAGTTGCTGGTCGCAAAAATCTGAAGGCAGATATCTGGGGAGCCAGAATGAAAAAGGGCTGTGGAATCAGAGTCAGTCTGATCGACACGCACAGCCAAGCCCCTGCTTTCCTCATTTGACAACAGGGATCAATGATAGTGGTTCTCAGACCAGACCCATGGATTCTGATTGAAGTGGTCCTGTGGCCTTTGGCATTGGGGCTTTTAAATTCCCAGGTAACTTCAATGTGCGGCCAGGGCTGAGAACACTGCAGTACGGGTCACCTGAGTATAACATCAGCCAAGAGGCATTCAATAAAAATCAGTTCCCCTTCACTATCTCTCATGCCACTAGTTAGGGAAACCTTAGCATCCCTACAGAGCAGGTGATGAGGATCAGTGCAGCACAAGCCTGGGCTTTCACTCCCCAAGCCTGTGCCCTGGGGTCCCCAGTCACTCCTGTTCAATGTAGCTCAAGGTTCAAGTGCTTCCAGGACTGTAGATGGTGTCTGGTCTCCATGGATGAACCACCTACCATCTTGCTCTAGAATTGGGAGCCAAAGGTTGTTAAAGAAACCATGATTTCTAACAGGAACCAAATACGGTGTTTTGTGGAATGTATGGTAATATTTAATATTCAGGGGAGATGTTTGCCTAGCAACGGAATTAGAGGCTGTATTTTGTCCTAAAAGAAACATTTGAACCATTTATTGTGGCACACACCTGTAATCCCAGCAACTCAGGAGGCTGAGGCAAGAGGATCACAAGTTCCAGGCTAGATTCAACAACTTAACAAGACTGTCTCAAAATAAAAAGGTCTGGGGATGTAACTCAGTGGTTGAGTGCTCCTGGCTTCAATCCCCAATATAAAAAAGAAAAAGAAAAGAAACGTTTGGGAATCACTGTCATCTTATTTAGTCAGTATTCCATAAACAAATTCTTGATAAATTATTAATTAGTACTTTCTACTTCAAAATAAATATCTGATTAATGAATGCTCAGATTCTTTAGCAATCAAAAGTAGGACTATTCTATTCTTACCCACTTAAAAATCATCATCTTCCTCACCTGCATTACTGATAGCATGTATGGGGAGTGACTAAGGTTTCCCAGCTGCTGTTTAAAATCAAGGGAGTGCTTTTAAAAAGCATCATACTTGGGCTCCTCCCTAAGATATTCTGATTCAGTTGGTCTAGAGAGGACCTCCTGCACTAGCATTTAAAAAAATTAAAAATTTAAATTAAAACAATTGTTTTAACTATCCCATTAATTTATAGTGTGCAACAAAGGTTGAAAAAGCACTGTTCTAATCAGATCTCACATCTGATTTTCAGTCATTGCTGAACTTCTCCTAACTTCTAGCTTAGAAAGATACAAAATTAAAGTTTAATCAGTCTTTTTTCTATTTTACTGAAATTGTTCACTTTTTTGGTTGGGAATTCTAATTTATGATCGGACACTGTCTCTTCTTCTAGGGAATACATTTAACTTTCAGTAAAACCTTTTTGTCTGGGAAAGAAGTACTTTCACCGAAACTGAAAAATATAGGGCTATAAAAATCTAAAAATTCAAAGTAGACCTTCTTGACTTGACTCAACCAAAAAGTCCATGGGCAGGTCTTAACAAGCAACTTAATTGAATTGAAGCAGGATATTAAAATTGCACTCAAAATCAACCTTTAGAATATAGAAGACTTTAAATAGTATAATAGTAGTATACTTTTTAATTTAATGATTTTTATTTTAAAAGCAAATTGGGACTGACAAAAATACCCTCATAATTCCTCCCTCAGTAGTATAAAAGACCCAACAAGAAAGTCAGTATCTATACTCAAGTCTGCCCATCCTTATTGGTCTTAGGTTTTTGCATGGTGCCCAGCAGCTACTGAGTTAAGCAATTTTCTCTATGCTTCTTAAGGGGATCCCCACCCCCAGTCCTTATCCTGGAAAATTATGTCCTGGAAAAAAAAAAGTTCACTCTTGTCTTAGAAAGATAAGCATCCAGCTGCACAGATGGTATACCGAATAAAGAGTACCATTCATATTGTAGTCTTTATGAGTGGCAAACCATTAGTCAAGTATCACTTGGGTAAAATCACTTGTCACCCTTTGTTCAGCATCTTCATGTGTCAAATAAACTCCAGCTCACCTGGGGGTCCTGGGCTCTGATCCAGGTGGAGAAGACCTACTCAAGGTGGAGGCCTGATATCTCCAATTCAGACACCAAGTATTATTTCCAAGTATCTCCATTACTTTGGCCTTCACAAGGGGGCTCCCAATTCTTTCCTCTCCTAAGTTAGAGGTACCACTGGAAGGCCCTGCTGAGGTATGAACCATCCCTTTTAGTTTTAGTAGTGGTAACAGAAGCTAGAGAGTCCTGACAGTACCCAGACTCCCTGCTCCGTGATGATGAGTGAACATTGGGTGGCTGTAGAGGAAATGGTAACAAGGTCCCAAGATTCCAGGACCCCAGTGTCTCTGTCCCTCCACCATCCAGTCTCATTTTCTTACTCTCTCTCCCATCTCTTCTCATCTGTCACCCCTGTTTGCCAGCATAAGCAAGTCTCTTCACTTGTATCCCTAACTATAAATGGCATCATGTCTATACCCACTGGGCATTTGGAGGATAACATGAGTGTGTCAGAGAATCCGGCTCAGACAAGGTTGTTAGCAGATCTTGGTCCTCTCCTCCTTTCCTCTCTTCCTTTAAGATGTCTTCCACTGCCCAAAGCCCTTTCCTCCCTCTACCCCCCTATCACATGGTATGGGACACCCCCAACCGGACCCAGTCCTATTCCTCTCTTGGTTCTAGAAGCTGAGAGATGCTTTAACTGCCCCTCACAGAAAGAGGTGGACAATTAGGTCCAGAGTGGCTCTTGCAGACAGATAAAGAGGAGATGAGGTGCCCAGGACTGAGGGATTAATAAGAAAGCTACACACAGGATATCAGCCCTCTCCCTGCAGCTGAAGATGCAGACTCAGCCTCTCTAAACTGCCCCAGTGGGACCCACAGGCTCTTTGCTCTTCAGAATTGTGGCCCTTCTGTCCCTCCTACAAAAAAAAATAAATAATAATAAGCTTCTGATTCCAGAAATTGGTTCAATCTGTCCTTGCAACCTTCTCAGATTTGGTGCCCTGGCCAAACACAGGGAAAACAACACTGCCCTGGAGCTCACACAGCCTGGGGACGGGCAGTACAAGGTACAATCTCCAAGCCTCTGGGCAGCTGGAAGCTGTCTGGCCTGACCTGCTTCTGGGCCTCCCATCTTTGCCACCCTTCCTGATTTGATCAGGAGCCCCAGAGTTGATGTCTGGCTTTTCTCCCAAGAAGCCACCCCTGTCCCCTGCTCTGTACAACTGCTTTAGCGCCTACATTTGCTTCATTCCCCTTGCCCAGTGCTGCCCACTTCCCATAATGATGCTAATGGACAAAAGAGAACACAGCTTTCCTGAAGCAGGAGAGCCGCCCCAGCTTCACCCTGCTGACTGACCTGACCTATTGCTGCTACTGCTGCTGCTGGGAATCCTGGTGCATGCTGGGAATCCAAGTGCATGCTGGGATTTCAATCAGTTCCTCCATGCATTTTGAGTTTGCTCAGAACAGTTCCAAACCTGGAACTGTTGGTTTCTAATCTATGGTATGCACTCCTTGAAATGAAGTTAAGGACTCTGTGGGACAAGAGAGATGCTCAAGAAACAGAGATTAGGAGCTTCACAGGATGAGCAAGACACCTGGGAACCAGAGATTTTCAGGCCACCCATTGCGCAAACCCAACTTTGGCCAAGAAGATGTCTATTATGCACAAACTTGAAGATCCAGAGGAAGATACTTTTGCTCTCATGTCAGAGGATTGACTTTAAGATCTGGTTTGCTCTTAATGGAGGCAAGAACTAAGTCCTGGAACATAATGAGGATTCAGAGGTCCTATTCCCAGCCCAGGGCTTAGCTACTCACATGGATACCACACATAAACATGCCATTGGATCCTGGAGGTTGCATGGACCCAGCTGCACATACCAAGGCTTAGCATCTCCCAACTACATATCATGGTGCCCCATGAGCCACTGGAGACCTCTTGTTGCAGAATTTTACTGATGTGTTGGCAAGAGGATTTGCATAATACCTTCATCTTGTCCCCGGTCAGGGAAACCTAGGGAGAAAAATAAAAAATAGCAGGAGCTTTGGACTACAAAGACAGCAGAAGAATTCCTTCATGTCTTCTGGTTTCTCAGAAAGGTTCAGAAAGACCATATTAAGAGATTCAGTTCTCATCATGGCTAATTGAGGAAAGGTTGAGGCAAAGGCCAATGACTTTACCAGCCCAAGTTCTACAAAGAAGTTTGACCAGAAAAACATCTTTGGACAAAAACAGAAGGAAGAAGAGCTGACCTGAGAAGAAGAGGCTGATAGGCGTCTGCTTGTATTTCAGAATTGAGTGGCTGGTAGGCAGCTACTCACTGAGCACCTGGTCAGCTTCAAAATGCCTGCCTCCCATTCACAGGATGGAGCCTTTCCAGACCATACCAAAACCATTTGCCGCAGGAGAGAAGAGTCTGGAAGAGTCTTTACTCACTGGAGATATTCACCTTCTGTGGCCTTAAACTGGAAGATTAAATGGGGAAATGTTGGACAGGATTTTAGTCCCTATCCCAAGAAAAAGATACCAGCTTCATTTTTACAAGATATTTTACAATTTATTTTTTTTTTTTTTAGTGAAAGCAAAGAAGGTGTCTGCAACCCAAGAAGTCTAGTGAGTTTCATATGGATATCCCAAGTGGCCATTTTCTCATGGATCTATACTCTGCAGACCCCATTTCTAGTTTGTTCATTCTGGTACTGTATCACCTTGTCCTTTTTCCCGAGCTCAGAGCTACAGAGGAAAACAGGAAAAGAAAGAGTCCTAAACAAGCTTCAAGAACCCGACTTCCAGTGTCCTTGCTCACCTCTGTGTTCATAGTTCAGACTCCATGGCTTCCTGAAACATTCACAAAAGAAGACATCTTGGAGGAACTTTTGGCTTCCAAAGTACCATATCTCTCCAACCCACTGGGAAACCTGGCTTCAGGGCTCCAAGCTTGTCAATCAAGAATCACACACATCCAAGAAAAACCCTGTCAGAATCTTTGGTTCAGCATTCCAAGATGGTGGCAGCAGCAGCAGCAGCAACAGTTCTCAGGAAAACCAGCCATTCCCCTCCCCAGGCTCTGGACAGCAGCAGGGCTGGCTACCCATAAGGAGGCCACAGTGCTTGTGAGGCTGGATTTGCGGGCAGGAGTCCTAATGGTGGCCCTTGATTTCTTGCAGACATTGATGAGTGCCTCTCAAGCCCTTGTCTGAATGGAGCCACCTGCGTGGATACCATCGACTCTTTCACATGCTTATGCCTTCCCAGCTACGGAGGGGACCTGTGTGAGATCGGTACGGCCGTCTCTGCTTCAGCTAATGTTACTAACAGTTGCACCTCCTCTTTCCTCACCCTTCCCTTCTAATCCCAGACTCTAGGCCCTGACCAGGGCCCCATATCCATCTGGACAACCACCAAGAAGTCTGCTTTTCCCACTGATTCTCGCTCTTTTTCTTGCTCTTCCCCCTGAAAACCCTCTTCTGGAGCACTGCCTGATCTGACGACAGGAGAAACTGCAGGCTAGGCAGCCTGCACTTTGGAAGGTGGGGCTCTAGGAAACTTTATACCACTAACTTTCTCCAGGACTTGCAGACTTGCTGATGCCACCACTGAGCTTGGTGCATGCATCAGAGTAAGAGGATAGAGCCGATTCTGTGCACTTGTCTTGAAGGAAGCTATGGGTGGGAACAATTGTGTCTCACTCCAGTGACAGCCTCAGATCTTCCCAGTATGGTCATGGGCAGCATCTGTCTGCTTTATCATCTGTGGGCCTTTTATGGCTCTTCCATGGTCGAAGGAGCCAAGCTACCTTGCTCTTCCCCTGGGTGAAAGCTGTGGTTGGTCTGCCTGAGAGCTCCTGTGTCACCAGCATGCTCAAGTCATGCATGAACAGGGACTGCTGCATGTCACCTTCTCTTCTTCACATCATGACAGCTGCTACATTGGTCATGCTTTCCTTCTTCCTTCCTTCTTCAAGACCAAGGACTGGCCAGAAAGAACAGTCTCACTGCAAGGGACAGGGGTTGAGTTGCCTTTCTTGGGTCTTGCCAACCCCTCTATTTCTCACCTACATTCCAGGAACCCTCCCAGGGCCAGGCTGAGCCCCAGCTCTCTCCCTATGGACCTTCCTACTCTCCCCCCAGCCCCCCTGGATTACATGGGCTTTCTGACTCAGAGGGGAGATATGGCTTCAGGTGTTGGTAGCAATGATGCACACCTGGAAGTGTGCAAGATCTCAAAGCTCTTTTTCAAAGAACTCTCAAGGTGGATACCAGAAACTTCCAGAAAGCAGCTGAAATTCCTTGGCATAAGCATTATGGGTGGTAGTCGGGATTTGAATGTCCCTTGAAGACAATGACAGTGTTACAGGTTAGTGGAGGAATTTAAGGCTTCTAGAAGAAAAGGCCTGAATACCCCTCCTCTCCTGCAACCTCAGCTGGGTTTTGGAGAGCTACAGGATTTTCTCCCCAGGATACCAAAACCATTTCCCGCAGGAGAGAAGAGTCTGGAACATCCACACAGACAAAAGCTCTGGGGTTCCAGCATGGAAAGGGGAGGTTGTACAGGAATGGAGGCAGGGCTTTCATGGGGCTCTGAACTCTGATGGAACAGAGTTTGTTTCAGAGCCTCTCAGAGAGGCCCTGGGCCTGGGTACCCAGTGAAGCCAGGCTGCATCTCTTCTCCCACTCCAGCCCTCTGCCCTCACCACCCCACAGTGCCTCATTCTTCATCTCTGGCCTCACAGCCTTTCCCAGTCTCCCTGGAATTCTGTCTGTGTTCCACAAAGCCTCCATCGTGCATGGTCCCACATAAGCACCCCCGCAACTGCTTCACCCTCCAGCTTTGCCTGCCCAGGTCAGCCCACAGGCACTGAGATGACCCAAGAACTGACCCCACAAGTCAGCACTGGGGTGGAATCTCTGTCTTCCTCGTGGTGCTGAGCTACCTCTGATGCACACCTGGAAGTGTATCTGAGACCTCCCCAGTGCTTTCCAGACCTTTGCTTCATCCCCTGGGAGAGCATTGGTAGCAGGGGACAAGGCCTCCCCTCAGTTCCTCCTGCTACTCCACCTCTTTCTTCTAAGACTATTGGCCTCCACTCTACTGTTTTCACTCTTCCCAAGCCATGTCCTCCTCCCTTGGCAAGCATCCACCATGCATGCTGAGACACCTTCCCCAGCCTGCCAGTCCTTCCTTCCTGGCATGGCCAGATTGGTGGCATCCAGTGGGAGGCTGCCTACATCCTGAAGCGTTCATGGCCCCAGAGCCCTCCACCTGGGTGGGCAGTCCTCCACTTAGGAGGACCCCTCCACATGGGAGGCCCCAGGGGATGAAGGGCGAGAAGGACTTGAATTCCCTCTGTCCAGTGCTGCGCTGGCAGACATTTGACGACTGGATCTCACAGAGGAAAGAGGAGCCCTGATGGTGGCAACTGTCAGCTCCTGAGGGGCAAATACTCTCACCAAGGCCAATTTAAAATTGCCAGTACCATGTCATGCAGGCGGAGTTAGGAAGTGACGCTTACAGTCACTGATCCTGAGTGACAGGCTCCTGCATATCCCTCCAGAACAGCCCCTTCTCCAGAGCAGAGAGCTCATTACAAATTTAGAAGTACTCCCCTCTTCCCATCTGCCACCAAAATATAAACAAAAATGAAAGCCAGGGCCCCTGGATCAGGGGTGGACCCCTGGCTGGCTGTGTCGCTCTCTAAGACAGCACTCAGCCAGAGGCCTCTCTGATAAATGGCCTGAGCGCTGTCATTCTTTGCACCCAAAGCAGACTGATTTCTGCTCCTGTCCTCACTCACATTTCTGTGGGAAGGAGGCTGCCAGCCCCTTTTTCTGCCTAGGCCTGCCCCACCTAAATCCTCCAACTGCTTCCCACAAAGCCTCTTGGAACCATGTTTTGCCTTAAATCTCAAAACCTGCCACATTTTTGACCTTTGGTCCACTAAGCTCGGTTGGCCCTCCAGGGCAGGCACCTGCAAGTGGAAAGTTGGGGCAGGGAGTGGCACTGCATCAGGGAAAAAAAGGTCCCTGGCACTAACATTTCCCAGAGATGAGACATAGAGGCCACTAGAGGAGCCAGGGCTTACTGGCTTCCCACAGGAGCATGTCCCGAGCTGGGCCTGTTCCTTCCCTTGAGAGCACAGGAAAGGGCGAATCTAAACCCATGTCATAAGACTGGCAGCAACCACATCCCCAGCTGGCCTGGAACTCCACTTCAAGCCCCTGACCTGTATTGCAGACCAGGAGGTATGCGAGGAGGGCTGGACCAAGTTCCAGGGACACTGTTACCGCCACTTCCCTGACCGTGAGACCTGGGTGGATGCTGAGAGACGGTGTCGAGAGCATCAAGCGCACCTGAGCAGCATCGTCACCCCTGAGGAGCAGGAGTTTGTCAACAGTGAGTGGGGGGGGCTGAGGAAAATGGTCATGTAGGCAAAGGGTCTCACTTGTCAGAACTAGCAGAGTGGGGGCTGGGGGCGTGGCTTAGTGGTACAGCACTTGCCCAGCATGCACTAGGCCCTGGGTTCCATCCCAACACCACAAACAAAAACAAAAGAAAGAAAAAAAGAAATTAGCAGTTTGGACCCAGTGAGGCTGTTAGGGTCGGGGAGCTAGGAGGGAGGGAAGGCGTTATTGTAGCTTTAGTTCCCCGACAGCGCACAGAGGACCCAGGACAGCACTTCACCAGGACCAGCCTCAGACTCACCCTGTGGCTGCCATCTATCCATGATAGCTTGGGGAGGTAGTCCAAAGTGCACCCCAGACATTCATGTGCTGAGAAGCAGGTGGCACGCTCCCAAGAAGCCCACCGGCCTCCTTGCACACTGCATCCCCTGAGCTCCAATTTTCAGACATCCCCAGGGTGTCCAATGCCAGATCCAAACCTAACTTACCTCTCCAGAAAACGCTCAAGACTACCAGTGGGTCGGCCTGAATGACAGGACCATCGAAGGGGACTTCCGCTGGTCAGATGGACACCCCTTGGTGAGTTCTGCTGGGTGCACCAGCCACAGCTCGTGGCCTGGAGGGGAGGGATAGGATAAAGACCCCCAGAGACGCATTCAAATCAGGTACAAACACTCACTGAGCAGCTGCAGGAGCCTTGGAGGACAGGGATTGTGCCTCGTTTGCCTCTGCCTTGGGGGACCAGCCCAGAGATGATGAACAGATTGAGTGAAAGAAGGCACAAAGCCAGGGAGGGAGCCAGAGAGAAGGGAATGAATGTCAGCAAACCACCATGAGAGGCCATGCAAACAGTTCAGAGAGGTTCCTGGTCCATAGAGATGGGAAGCCAGAAGATGCCAAGTGAACACTATGGCAGAAGCGGGGGTCAGTGCTGCAGGTGTGACAGGCTGAATCCTCTCAGGGCTCCATTCGTGGGAGTTCTGGAACTCCTAAGAAGTTTCCCAACTGTGTGCCCAGTTCCCCAGAGGACCCATGGGTTCCATGGCACCTCCAACAACCCTGACCAGACTCCCAGCAGCCTTCCCCAATGCCAGACAAGCCAGAAGTTGGATTGAAAGAAAGGAAAGTGGGGGACAGGTCAAGCCATGAGGCTCCAGCCCTCTCCTCACCCCTTCCCCACCTCTGCCCGCAGCAATTTGAGAAATGGCGTCCCAACCAGCCTGACAACTTCTTTGCCACTGGAGAGGACTGCGTGGTGATGATTTGGCATGAGAAGGGCGAGTGGAATGATGTTCCCTGCAATTACCACCTGCCCTTCACGTGTAAAAAGGGCACAGGTGAGCAGGGCCTGGGAGGGGATCCAGAGCAGAGAGAATCAGGACTTTCGGCATCAAGGGAGGCTCTTGCTGTGTGACCTGGGGGGCATCCCTTATCTTCCAGCTGCTGGTGTCTTGTGGGGACATTCTCTAAAAGCGGATGGAACCTGACTTGGGAGCTCCTTTTCAGCACCAGCATTCAGAGCCAATGGCAATGGCAAGCTGGCTCCTAGGGATCATCCACAGGGACAGGAGAGTATGAAGGTTGCAGGCTAGAGGACAGGACTCTCCTTTAGATATCAGCGGCAGAAAGTCACCCGTGATGGCACCTGGATTGGGAATCTCCCTCTCTTTGGGGTTCCCAAGTCTATCAGTCACAGAATCAGAATTGTCAGACCCTAATCCCTCAGCTTTAGGTCTGTGGACATCCAGGTGCTCCTTCTCATGGCCTGTGTCCACAGCCATCCTTGGGGTCCCTCTTTCCCTGGCATTGGATGTTTTCATAAAGAAGCCACAAGTGGTCTGCCTGGCTCTCCCCGTCTTTCTCCCTCTCTTCCTTTTTCATGGCCTTACAGTCCCCTTTGTACTCTCCTCCTGTCACTCTGTACCACCAAAGAACCCAGGTGTTAGAACCAGAGGTCTCCCGATTCTTGACACTGGATGAAAATGCCCCTTTGCTAGCAGCCAGGGCTCTCTGCCAGGTGTGGAGCTCAACGTCCTTCCCACAGAGCCTTGGGCTCTGAGCTTGTCATCACAGAAGACCCCACGAGACTCCTTTCTAAAGGGTGTTTGCTCCTCAGTGGCCTGCGGAGACCCCCCTGTGGTGGAACATGCCAGGACCTTTGGACAGAAGAAGGACCGATATGAAATCAATTCCCTGGTTCGGTACCAGTGCACTGAGGGCTTTGTCCAGCGCCATGTGCCCACCATCCGGTGCCAACCCAGCGGGCACTGGGAGGAGCCTCGGATCACCTGCACGGACCGTGAGCATCACCCTCTGAGCACTAGCAGGGGTTGGGACTGGATTCGGCCAGCACTGCCTTCTCCCTATCCCTGGGAGGGGACAGCTGGGACTCACTGTCTCCTGGGGATGCTACACCATCCTTCAGACTAAGCCAGGGTGGCAAAGTCAGTGAACTGTGACTATGATCTGTGATCTGTGACTTAGGGAAGGCCAGATGCCTGTCCCAGGAGAGAGCTCATATTCAGAGAGGGGAGGCGGCAGAAAACTGGTGGCCTGCTTTTCTTTTCAACAGCAGCCTGCGTGCCCGTAGCCCAAGGAGGCTCTGTACAGCTGAAGGCTGGCTTCCTGAGCCTCTGTTTTGCAGTGAGGGGTGCCAGCGGAGAGGGGCAGCGTGAGGAACACCTCAGCTCTGCCCCACTTCTTCCTGGCTCACCGATATTTCCCATCTTCCTTTCACCCCAGCCACCACCTTCAAGCGCAGACTACAGAAACGGAGCTCACGGCCCCCGAGGAAGAGCCACCCCAGCACAGCCCACTGAGAAGAGTTTCCAGGACGCGCCCAGGATGCTGAGCCCAGGAGCCTGGCAGGCAGACAGTGCATCCCATCCAGTTGGTGTCCTCTTGTCACTTTTTGTCATATAAGGAATCCCATTAAAGAAAAAAAAATGAATCCCACATTGTGTATGCACCCACCCCACCCCATCCCCAAGTCACCAAAACCTCATCTAATTTGTCCCCCAATGCCAAAGCAAAGCAAACTTACTGTAACCCATGGACTGAGTTTAGAGACATTTCTTCAATCTCCCGTTGTGCCTTTCCAGGGACCAGAGCAGGGACAGGGGGAGAGGGAAGGGGTTAAGTTAAATAAAGAAGATTATTTTTTGTTTCCTGACTTTATCCAAGAGCAGTAGAGTCGTTGGTTATTTCACCTCCAGGGAGAGCTAGGGAGGAGGGAGGAGGGGTCGGAAAGAGGTGGAAGGGGCAGAGGCCTGAAGGACTCAGACCGGACCGCAGCTGAATGTATTGGACAAAAGGAGCCAGGAGGGCTGCACCATCTGCGTGGGGTAGAAGCCTGGGGGTGAGGGTCCAGCTGACCCGGGGTCAGCGGGCAGGAGAGAGCCAGCAGAGGGATCTTCACAGCGTGGGGGTCGCCCTCCCTCCAGGGGTCCCTCTCCCAGTGTCCTCTCACCTGGGTCTGCCACCCTAGCAGGTGTCAATCTCTCGGCAGGGCTGGGTGGGGGCACTTCCTTCCAGAGGGAGTGCCACCCACCCCCTCACCCCACCCCACCCCCGGGACCGTGCAGGCACCAGGGTTCCGTGCACCTATTTATATTTTTGAAAACTAAAGATTATGATAATTATAATAATAAAGACATTGGAAGAGATCTATTTCTTTTCTTTTCCCTTTTTTCAATTTAAGGAGAAGGCAACCGAAATCTAAGGCCTGTTGAAGGCTCTCAGGAATGGTGACAATGGGGACATGTTTTGATCAAGTGACCCCACACTGTGTGACTCCTGTCTGTTCAGAGCCTGGGACAGTCATGTCTGGTGTGCTTTATTTTTACTAGAGTGAAGCTGTGTTGGATGGATTCTACACATGTGTGGATAGGAATGTGGAGTGTGTGCCTGGGGGTGCCTGTCACATGCATGATGTGTCAATAGGTGGCACTGTGGGTGGACGAGCAAGTGGGCACTGTAAAAGAACAAGAGAAACATCTGGTCATCTTGCATAGTTTGATTCTTTGCTATCACTGTGTTAGTAAACTAAATCTAAAAACAGGGAAACTCAGGATTTAACAAGAGGGAAGGAAAAAAACAAATGGCAGACAATCTAGGAACAATAAATCTTGCTTATACATTTTTGGGGCAAATGGGTCAGCTGACTGCTAGCAAAAAGAACAGCCAATGAAACTTCCGGAGTTATGGTGCACACCTGTAATCCCAGCCACACAAGGGGCTGAAGCAGGAGGATCACAAGTTCGAGGCCAGCAACTTTGTAAGACTCTGTCTCAAAATACAATTAAAAGGGGCTTGGGATAGAGCTTAATGGTAGAGCACATGCCTAGCATGCATAAGACCCTGGGTTGCACCCCCAGTACCACAAAAAAAAAAAAATCAAATTAAAAGGACTGGGATATAGCTTGGTGGTAGAGCACCTTTGGGTTAATTCCCAGAACTGGGTAAAAAAAGACACCAACAAGAGCAATTTTTACTGTTTATTGTACCCCAAGAGTTGAGCTGGAATGTGCAGGCCAAACACTGAGTGACCTTCCAGTGCCCCCTCGGGACCTCTCCCTCATCAACATGCCTTCGAGGCTTTGTCTGGAATGTGTTTGTGTTGGAAGTGAATGCCAGTGTGAGTTTGTGTGCCATATATTTTCAGGTGCAGGGATGGGCATGGTTGAGCCTTTGCAGGTGATATATACATGTGTCCAGGTTACTTCTAGCTCTGGAAAGAATGGGTGAGCAAAGAAGCGCATAGACACTAGTCAAATAGTAGGGATTCAATAATTATGTAACTGATGGATAAATTAACTGACTATGGATGCTTCTTATGAAGTTATATCCCCATAAACCCCATTATAAATTGAAAATATCCTAAATCAAAAATATATTTAGAGTCAGGAGCAGTGGCACAAACCTGTGATCCCAGTGGCTTGGAGGCTGAGGCAGGAGGATAGCAAGTTCAAAGCCAGCCTCAGCAAAAGCAAGGCACTAAGCAACTCAGTGAGACCCTGTCTCTAAATAAAATACAAAGTAGGGCTAGGGATGTGGCTCAGTGGTTGAGTGCCTCTGAGTTCAATACCTGGTACCAAAAATATAATATATATTTATTTTATATATTTTTATGTAATATATATATATATATATATATATATATATATATATATATATATATATCGAGAGAGGGAGAGAGAGGCTGGAGGTATAGCTCTTACTTAGCTTGCACGAGGCCCTGTGTTTGATCCCTAGCCCAATTTAAAAAAAGATAAATGAAATGCATTTTAATATATATATTCTACCAAATATCAGAGCTTAGCAACATAGTACACAGTAGAGGATCTATTGTGTCTCTTTATGATTGAGTGAGTGACTGGAAGCCCTGGCTTGTTGCCACTGTCCAGCATTGTGAGAGAGAATTGCACCGCATTTTGCTAGCCCAGGGAAAGATCAAAGTTAAAAATTCAAAGTAGCAGCCAGGCACAGTAGTGGACACCTGTAATCCCAGTGACTTGGGAGGCTGAAGCAGGATGATCACAAGTTCAAGGTGTGACTCAGAAACTTTGCAAGACTCTCAGAAATTTTGTGAGACTCTGTCTCAAAATAAAAAATAAAAAAGGGCTGGGGATGTAGCTCAGTGATAAAGCACCCCTGTGTTCAATTCCCAATACCATACACATACCAAAAAAATTCAAAGTAAAGTTTCTGCTGAACATTTATTGCTTTCATGCCATCTACTACAGTTTGGATACTGAACATTCTCCAAAGGGCCATGTGTTGAGAAATTGGTCCCCAGGGTGGTGTTATTGAGAGGTGCTGGTAGACCTTTAGGAGGTGAGCCCTTCTGAGAGGTCCGTCAGTCACTGGGAACAGGTCCCTGAATGGGTATTTTGGGACACTACCCTCTTGGTCTTTTATCTTTGCTTCCTTGCTGATAAGGTGAGCCTGTTTCTCTGCCATCCACACCTATCCTGATGATTGCCTTATGCAAAGTCCAGAACAACAAGAGCCACTCAATCTTGGACTGGAACCTCCAAAACTATGAGCCAAAATAGACCTTTTCTCTTCACAAGTTACTTATGACTGATATTTTATTATAGGAAAGTGACATTGACTAATACAACGAACGTTGTAAGGTCAAAAGATCATAAGTCAGCTGGACGCAGTGACACATGCCTAAAATCCCAGCAATTTGGGAGGCTAAGACAGAAGGACAAGTTCAGGGCCATCCTGGGCAACTTAGAGAGACCTTGTCTCAAAATAAAAAATTAGAAAGGTTGGGGTTGTAGCTCAGATTTAAAGCACCCTTGGGTTCAATGCCAAGTGCAAAAAAAAAAATCGTAAGTCAAATTATCATATATCAGAGACTATCTGTAATTGGTAAAACAACCATCTATGCTAGTGGCTTTCAGAATCCCCTGGAGGATTTGTGATAACAAGGGGCCTAATCTCACCCCCAGAGTTTCTAACTCTGTAGGTATGGGGTAAGGCCCAGGAATTTGCATTTCTAATGCATTCTAAGTGCTGCTGCTGCTGCTGCCGCTGCTACTGGCCAGACTTTGAGTAGCACTGGGCTGGTGAAAAACTGATTGCATTACTGAGCGGTAAGTGGCAGGGCATGCCTGTGAGAGGCAACCAGAGTGCCTTCCTTTTCAGGGTGAGGCCCAGAGGATCAGGCCCAAGAGCCTAGCCTCTGAGGCCCTCTAGAGGACACAGCCTCTGAGAGGCACCTTCCTCTCTCTTGCTGGGCCTCACACAGACACACTACCAGGGACTGTGGGATGCAAGCCAGGGAGCCAGCTGCTGGGCCAGCACCAGAGGCAGGGCACAGCCTGGGGCAGCACATGGAGTTCTCTGCCCACCCCAGGTGCGCTGACCCCGCCACCTGTGAAGCATGGCCCAGAACCGAACCTACCACATCCACCAGGCTGGGAGCTGAGCCCTGAGACTGGATGAGACAGGGAGCCAGGCACAGTTGCAGGTTGGGGACAAAGGAAGGGGTCATAGCACCATTTATCGTTCAAAGAAGGTGCACACACCTGAAGGCAGTTCTCCACACAGGGAAAATGAAAAGGAAACAGAGTGGAGATGAGAAGGGGAGAGGACTTCTCTCCCTACCTTCAGATCTCAAGGAGAAGCCTAGGAAGCCACTCCAGAAATAAAAAGGACCCCCCCCCACCAACTCCTCTTCCTTCCCAGACTGAAACAGAGGGAGAGTAGCAGCCACCATGCCTTGACCCCTTGTGGCCAGGTCACTGCCCACTTGGGTATCAGCCTCCTCTGAGGAAGGACACAGGCTGGACTCAGGGATAGCAGAGAGCCCTCTAAAAGGCTCACAAACCTCAAATGTTTGTGACGGGGAGTGCCTCCAGGTGTCCAGGGGAGCTGGTACTTGGATGCTGCTGGATTTACAAAAAAATAATGATACTTTTCAAAAATGTTTAAGTTGAGAAATATAAAAACAATACTAAAATTGCCCTGACCCATTAGGAGAATTGAACCACTCAATAAATACACAGCCCCTGGGGGAAGGAGGCTGGGTGCAAAGCTGGCCGCCCAGATCCTAGCGGGGGCGGTAGCAGTAGACGCCATCCAGGCGGCTCTGAGGGTCTGGGAAGCCAAAGCTCCGGACTCCAGGCTCTGGGGGCCCGCAGTTGGGACGGGGGTGAGCCACAGGGTAACGGGCACTGCCATCTGCCAGCCAGCCGGCATCACAGCGGTCCAGGCCACGGAACTTCCAGGCAGCAAAGAGCTGGCCCACCTTGGCAATCTGGGCACCATCTTCCTGGCAGGCCTCCCGGGCCTCCTTCAGTGTCAGCTTCTCCGGGTGCTCCAGGTAGTACACCCACCCTGGGGGAAGGTGGGGCATTAGTGTTGGGCAGCCGAGACAGTGACCAATGAGGACATCAGGGCCTGTCCCAAGAACCTGACAACTGTCCAAGCCCAGGGGACCATGATGCTGTGGACATGTGCAGTGGACATTTTGGGAAGTGTAACTTCCCACACCTCAGCACCTGAGAGTCCCACTCTACTTGCCGTAGGGCTGGGTCCCTCTGGATATGTCTGTACTCCCCTGCCACCCTTCCCTGATTGTACCCCCAAGTGGGCACCCCACCTGGGCTGGACCAGAGTCTCTCACCCAGTCATTTACTGAGCACCTGCTATGTGCAAGACATTTCTCTAAGTGCCTAGGATATAGCACTGAACCAATTCCTGTTTTCACTTATCTTCTGATGAAACAGGCCATTTTACGAGGACAGATGTGTTTCCTTTGTCTATGATGCCCCTGAGCCTCATCTAGGCCCCAGCACTAGAAAATGCTCGATGAGAATAAACCAATGTTTGCACGAAGCAAAAGCAGCAAAACACTCAAAATCCCACCAGTATTGCTTCCAGATCTGCTGGGGCTCTAGACCTCTAGGTGGAAGTGTCAGCAGGATGGGCAGAAGGGTCCAGAAGCTCCCCGCAGGTCCCAGGTGCCCATCAACCCACAGGCCTGTGCTCGGCCACTCCACTCACCCTTGAGGGCAGCAGCAAAGCAGAAAACATCGTAGCGATGCAGGCGGTGGTGGCGTGGGCCATAGCTGCGCACACCAGGCGCCAGGTCCAGGCCACCACAGGGCTCTCGGGGCAGCGTGATGGGGTACTGCACCGTGGCGTCCTGCAGCCAGCCTGCGTTGCACCAGTCCAGGCCTTCCTCCCAGGCCCGGAAGAGCTGCTCAAAGGAGGCCAATGCTGCATCCTGCTCCTCACAGGCCTGCTGGGCCTCATGGAAGTTGAGCTGGTAGCGCCCCTGAGGGGGCTGGTAGGGAAAGACCACGCCTGGAGAGGGAGGAAAGGAGCTTGGAGGGGTGGGCTGCACGCTCAGCTCTTCCTCCTCCACTGGGACACACGACCCCCCCACACACACCCACATGGTCACTCAGAAAGCTCAGCAAACCTCCATCTCCTACCCACTGCCCACATCCAGGCAGAGCCTATGAGTGGCATTCAGGAAACATGCCTTGGCTTGTGAAGGTGATTAACAGCCCAATGTCTCCAAATTTAAAATGGGAATACTGCCTTACTTATGGGGCTATTGAGAGAACCTCAGTGAGGAGATGCTATCATGTACAAGATGGGCACTGGCTTTGGACTCCAGAGGCTGGATTTGGCTCCCAACGTCCCTCCCAATAGCTAAGACCTAATCACACAGGCTTTCCTCAGTGTCCAGAGGGATCGGTTCCAGGGACCCCCCCTCAAATACCCAAATCCAAGGATGTTCAAATCCCCTATATAAAATTATATAGCATTGCCAGGCATGGTGGTGCATGCCAATAATCCAGATACTCCAGAGGCTGAGGCAGGAGGATCACAAGTTCAAGGCCAGGCTGGGCAATTTAGCAAGACCCTGGCTCAAAAATAAAAATAATTAAAAGGGCAGGGGCTGAGACTCAGTAGTAGATGCCCCTGGGTTCAACCCCCAGCACTGAAAAAGGGGAAAAAAAAAAAAGCATAGTATTTGCATAGAACCTATATATATCTTCCTGTATACTTTAAATCATCTCTAGATTATTTATGATGCCTTAATACAAAGCCTACACAGCACTTCATTCTTATGGATTTAGCATAGTACTTGGCATGCAGCAAACTTTAGTTTTGCTTTTTTTGGAACTTTCTGGAATTCTTTTTTCCAAATAATTTTTGAGCTGTGAGTTGGTTGAATTTGCAGATGAAGGGCCCACAGTTACAGAGGACTGACTGTATATGTCATTATGAATATGGAAGTTTCTTAGGAAAATATAAGAAATTTTCCACATATGACAGATGGTTTTTAGGGGAAGGAGAGGCCTAGAAGCTATGGGAAGAGGATAGTGAAGGGCCCTTAAATAAAGGAGGCTTGAAGTCAGGAAAGGCTTGGGGCATGGGCCCTCTCTCTTGGTAGTCAGGGTACAACGGGGGCCACAAAGTCCCCTCAAAATTTGTCATGCATGTTTGAAATTTTACTATAGTAAGTTTTTTAAGCATTGGAAATTCAGTACCTAGCAAGTTGGATGAAATCTTAAGAAGTAGGAGTGACTCTAAGAGTTCAGAAGGGGACCCTGCTGGGCTTACATTGTTTATGAGCAGGGCCCTAAGTAGGAACTCCTCCCTGTAGCCTAGGACATGGAATATGCCAAGCACCAAACCCAGTCTTGCTGGGAAACCGGCACCTGGGCAAAGCCAGTCTAAGAGGGCACAGAAGCCCAAGGGAGCTGGTCATGGTGGTACACACCTGTAATTCCAGCAAATCGAGAGGCTGAAGCAGGAGGATGGCAAGTTTGAGGCCAGTCTTGACAATTTAGTAAAACCCTGTCTTGATAAAATTTTTAAAAAGGGAAGTTGAGGGAAGAAATTGGGGGTGGGTTGTAGCTCAATGACAGAGTACCAGTGGATACAATTCCTAGTACCCCCCAAAAAAAATATAGAGAGAGAGAAGACCACAGGCCCAACAATCACATCCTCAACCTTCCTGTATGCTCACAGGGGGATTATTGTGCGCCTGGTATCATCTCAAATTCCTAGCCCTGGGTGAGGATTCCCTGCCTCTGTAGGCTGCTTCTGCCAACCCAGACAAATGAATCCTGCAAGCTCTCTCCCTTCCCTCCACCATATCCAAATCCAAAATGAGCAATGTGGCCTCTCTCAGGCACCATCTAAGCCACAGGGACTTCAGAGTTGGAGTGCTGCAAAGATGAAGCCAAGTTTCCAGGATGTGCATTTATTCTCCTGGCCTCTGAGGCAGGTAATGGAGGAACTACTGTTGTCCCCCTTCACACCTCTCAGAGCAGCCCAGAGCTCTGAGAGGCTGAGGCATTCCCAGGGGTCACAGCAGAGATGGACCAGATGGAGTCCAAAAATCTTCCTCCCTCCCAGCTGCCTCCCTAACAGAGCAGACAGACATCAGGACTCCCAGCCTCATCCCAGAGACAGAGGAGGTGAAAGGAACTTAGATCTCAAACTGGGGCCCACAAACAAAATCTGGCTTGCAGGGTCTTGACTAGTTTTGACAGCCCTGGGTCTTTTCCAGAAAATAGGAGACTTTTGTGGAGCATGGTGGCACACACCTATAATCCCGGTGACTTGGGAGCCTAAGACAGGAGGATCACAAGTTCAAGGCCAATCTGGGCAATTTAGCAAGAATCTGTCTCAAAATAAAAAACAAAAAGGGCTGGGAATGTGGTTCAGTGGTCGAGCAACCTTGGGTTCAATCTGTAGTTCTACAAAAAATTAAAAAGATTAATTAATTAAAATTAAAATAGGAGCTGAGTGCAATGGCATACACCTGTAACCCCAGCTGCTCAGGAGACTGAGGCAGGAGGCTTGAAAGTTCAAAGGCAGCCTCAGCCATTTAGCAAGGCCATGAGCAACTTAGTGAGACCTTGTCTCAGAATAAAAAATATAAAAAGGGCTAGAGATGTGGCTCAGTGTTTAAGTGTCCCTAGGTTCAAACCCCATATATATTATTTTAATATATATATATATATATATATATATATATATATATATATTTAAAAAGGAGATTGTTACATAAAAAGACAACCCTTTCACATAAAAAGATAAGCTCTCATCAAATTAGGAAATCTGATTGCACCGGGCCTGTATTCTGCCATGGCATCATCAGCTGGGCCTGAGCAGAGTGGCCCCTCTGGATGGGACAGGGCTCAGCCCCTGCCGCTCCCTCTCATTGCATGCTAGGCCTGCTACATTCTTTCATTGCCTGCGAACCCTGCTCAAATCTCAGCTCTGGCTCTAATGAGCTATAAGACTGGCTCCCACTGTCCTCTCTCTGAACAGGACATGAGTGAGAGAGAACAGAAGGCAGTAGATGCTGGAGACTGCTGCCGGGGTCCAAATGCCAGCTTTGCCATTTTTTAAAAAAAAAAAATATTTATTTTATTTATTTATTTTCAATTGTAGGTGAACACAATATCTTTACTTCATTTTTATGTGGTGCTGAGGATCGAACCCAGGACCTCACGTGTGCTAGGCAAGCATTCTACCACTGAGCCACAACCCCAGTCCCCCAGCTTTGCCATTTATGAGCTGGGTAACCTCAGGTAAGTTACTTGGCCTCTTTGGGTTTCCTCATCTGTAAAATGAGGGTAGTAATAACAGTAGCTTCCTTATGAGGACATAATTTTCTACATAAAGCACAAACATCCGGATGCTCTCTCGGGGCCTCTCCCCTCCCTTAGGTCCCAGCATCACCCAGTCCCAGTCGGGGCCTCACCCCGCAGCTCCAGCTCCACCAGGCCGCTCTCGTCCTCTAGCCCATCAATGACCTCACAGCGGTAGCGCCCATAGTCTTCCAGCCGCAGATCCCAGAGCTCCAGTGAGACTTCACGCTCCTCGTCCTGCCGCAGGTGCGCGCGGCCTTGGTAGTCCCCAAAGGAGCGGTGCCTCTTGCCTATGGCCACCAGCACATCCTGCTCTGGGGCCCCGTTCTCTGACAGCTTCCACCACTTGATGCGCACGGGCCTTGGGGAGGCCAGCGCTGGCTCATAGTGGTAGTGGCAGGGCAGGGTCACGGTAGCCCCCCGGTGGGTGAACAGCGTCTCCTCGGGCGTCTCTACGACCAACTTCACTCCATTGAAAAGGCCTATGGGGAGAGGTAGGGGACAGATAGGGACAGCTGCAGCACATCTCCAACTCCCTTCAGGGTCAATGGTTATGAGTGAAAAAATGGTCTCCCTGCTCCACCCATCTCTATCCACCCACCTTGCAGTGTGCCTGTGCATCTCCTGCCATCAAGAGGTGATATCTATTCCCCTGTCCCTGGAATGTGTACTGGCCTTGCCACTGGATTTAACCAAATGGACATGGCGGGTATGACTGTCCCATAGTGTCTGCTCTGAGCCTCAGTTCCAGGAGATCTGGCTTCTTCCGGTTTCTCTTGGGTTCTCATGAGCATCAAGCCGAGGCTTACCTACTGAGCATGAAAGACTACCTGGAACAGAAGCAAGCCTCCCCAGCTGGGGCCACCCTAAATCAACCAGCCCCCAGCCTGTCAGCACCCTGCGGGTGCATCTGCAAGTCTCAAGTGCAAGGCCAGAAGAAAGGGAGCCCCCCGTCAAATGCTGACCCACAGGTAGCTGAATAAATGGCTCTTGTCTTAAGCCACTAAGTTTTGGGGTAGTTTGTTACACATCAAAAGTTAACTGATGAGCCAGATGCACACCTGGAATCCCAGTTATTTGGGAGGCTAAGACAGGAAGATTACAAGTTTAAGACCAGCTTGAGCAACTTAGTGACACCTTGTCTCAAAATAAAATAAAAAGGGCTGGGAGCTGGGGATGTAGCTCAGTGGTTAAGCACCTCCAGATTCAATACTCAGTACCAAAAAAAAAAAAAGAGAGAGAGAAGAAGTCTTCTGCCCAAGGCCAGCCAGTAAGAAGCAGAATTAAGATTCAAACTCACATCTATATGACCCCAAGCCCTCTTTTCACTGGGGAGCCCAGAAGAGATCTCATTTCAGCCTGATCGTGAAGAACTGGCAGGAGTTTGGGGAAAGTGCAAAACAAGCAAAGTGATCATCCCTAAGTGAGTATGGCCTCATGTCCAAGGAGACAGCAAACAGTAACTAAACCATCTCTTCCTCTTGTCTAAGAAGCAAGGCTGGTCCACCCCAAAAGCCAAGATGGGGAAGAAACTACTGAGTCATACCCTGTCCCCCATCCCAGCCTGGAACCTGCATAGCACAGCAGGAACCAGGATCCGGCCCAGGAGGCCACCCACCTTCGCCATAGCCATTGCCTGGATTCCTGCCATTGGGGCTGTTGGAATAGTAGAAGCCGTTATAGAAGGGCAGTCCAGAAACGCAGGGCAGCAGGAACAGCAAGACCAGGACCCATGGTGCTGCAGCGCAGCACCCACAGCAGCAGCTCCGGTGCATCCTGGGCCAGGCTGGGGCCCTGGGGCAAGCTGGGAGGAGGAGGGGGGGAAAGCCAATTAGAGATCCCCACTGCAGTGCCCTGGGATCCCTCTGTTCGACCTGCACTCAATCACCTCTCTATAGTTCATTATGAAGCATCTTCCAGCGCCAGGCTCGGTGCTCGGAAAAACTAGAGGAATCTCTGCTCTCCACAGGCAGGAGGGGCAATAGCAAACAAATAAACCCTCAGAGGAATTAGCAGGCAACAAAAAGAGCATGGAAAAAATTAAGCCAGATGATGTGACACTATCAATATTTCTCAAATCACAGGTTTGAATTTGAGAAGTCATGAGCAATTATTTTATTTTATTTTGCTTTATTTATTTATTTTATATTTTATTTTATTTTATTTGACATTGGGAATTGAACCCAGGGGCACTTTACCACTGAGCTACATTCTCAGTCTTTTTTATATTTTAGTTTGAGATAGGGTCTTACTAAATTGCCAAGGCTGGCCTTGAACTTGTGATCCTCCTGTCTCAGCCTCCTGAGCAGCATATTTTAATGAAACCAAACTGACTAGACTAGAATAAAAAATAGCAAAGTGCATTTCATGCTTAGTGAAAATAAATCCTGCAACAAGAAACTTTTGTTTCAGTCCAATGTCTGGGGGTCTGGAGTTGTAGGGGTCACAATGTGAAATTTATTTCTTACCCTAAGTCAAGGTTAAAAAGAAGTTTTTTAAACATCACACTAGAGCATTATTCCTGTTTAGGTGGATATTCAAATAAAATAGGCAGCTGGCCCATGAGCTGTAGTTTGTTGATTTGATTTTTTAAAAATATCGCATTAAGCTGGGCTCAGTGACACATGCCTATAATCCCAGCAGCTTGGGAGGCTGAGGCAGGAGGATCAAAAGTTCAAAGCCAGCCTCAAAAAAAGCAAGGCAATAAGCAACTCAGTGAGACCCTGTCTCTACATAAGAATACATAATATGGCTGGGGATGCGGCTCAGGGGTTGAGTGCCTCTGAATTCAATCCCAGGTACCCCCCCAAAAAAAATTGCTCTAAAATATCCTGCCTTGATTGCAAAATTTTGGGCAAACACACACACTTCCCTACTTCAAGTTTGCACCCAAGACTAGTGCTTCCTCAGCTCACCCTTGCCTTTAATGAGCGTTCTCAACAATTAAAAGACTGAAGGAGCTCAGTCCAGGGAGCATTGAAACGAGATTAAAGATAGGAATTTTCAAGGTGGAAAAAGACAGACTGATTTTTCTTGCAGAGACACAGCCACTGCAAAGGTGCAGAGGCTAGGGACAACACCTGGGGAATAGGAGTGTGCTAGGGGATCTCCATTTGTGTCCTCCCCCCACTCACTCCCAGGTCCACTCTCTGCCCTTCTGTGCCATGCATTGATCCCTGTGGATCATTCCACCGGGGCCCACTGGCCTCTGGCCTCCAGCTGGATTCAGTCAATGGGAAACACAGGAGATGGGTAGAGGGAAGAGAGAGAAGCAGCATTTCCTCCCTGCTCCCTCCCCGCTCCAGTGGCTCCACCATAGTGTCTTCTGCTGCTTGTCCTCATTTGATCCCTACCTTCATTAAAGTCTCTTTGTCAGAACCATCTGGAACAAATTCCATTTTCTGCCAAGACTCTAACTGGTATAGGGGTTAAGATACAAGAAGGTCAACAGGGTCTGTGCCTAGATGCCCTAATGTCCTGGGGTGCCAAGATGGCTTTAAGCAGAGGAGCAAAAGGATCAGACTTACATTGTAGAAACATCCACTGGAGGCAAGTCGAAGGTGGACTGTGGGACAGCAAGACCAGAGTGACAGCAGGCATTTGTAAATATAACTATGATTATCCTGTAGCAACACAGAAGAATGCTGAGGGTGTCATTTAAAACAGAAAAAGCAGAACATACAATTGCCATCTGGCTATGATTGCAAGTGTGTGGTCTTATGAATGCCTATGCACAGGAACCAGAAGGGGAAGAAACCCTAAAAAGAAAATGAGAGAGAAGGGAGGGAAGGAGGGAGGAAGGGGAGAAAAAAGGAAAGGAAAAACAAAGCAAAGCATTGGTCTATGAAGTTGACCAGACTTGGAGGAAATACTCTTGTTTTCAGAAGAGTCAGGAGCAGTTGCTGAAGAGGCTTGGACGTGGAAGAAGATGAGCGATATATCATGCCATTCTCTTAGACAGCTTGGCAGAAATGAGGCCCAGATTTGCCATCTGTGCTGTGCCCTGCAGCAGGAACACTGTCCGCTCTGAGGATTCAACTCTTGTTCAAGAGGAATTGCCCTAGCCAGGTGCAGTGGTGCACACCTGTGATCCCAGCAGCTCGGGAGGCTGAGGCAGGAGAGTCATAAGCTCAAAGCCAGCCTCAGCAACTTAGCAAAGCCCCAAGTAACTCAGGGAGACCCTGTCTCTATATAAAATATTAAAATAGAGTGGGGATGTGGCTCAGTGGTTAAGTGCCTCTGTATTCAATTCCAATACAGAGAGAGAGAGAGAGAGAGAGAGAGAGAGAGAGAGAGAGAGGGGAATTACCCTGCTGAATTCCAGTAAGTCCCTGCACAGCATAACCACATCAGGCAACCTGGGATGGAGTTTGTGAACTAGAAGATCCAGGGTCAAAACCCACCTCCACTTCAGTAGTCCCTCAGTAATGGTGGGGGATTGGTTCTTGGACCCCTGAAGATACCAAAAACCACAGATACTGAAGTCCTTTACTTCATCTGCCACAGTATTTGCATAGAACCTACACACATCCCTGTACTTCAAATTATCTCTAGATAATTTATAATACCTACTACAATGTAAATGCTATGGAAGTAGTTGTTTACTGAATAGCAACAAAAAAGTTTGTATATATTCAATGCAGATAAAAATTTTTCCTGATAATTTCCATTAGTCATTGGTTGAATGTGTACAGAGTTGACTGTACTTAGTATTAGCTATGTGGTTCTAAACAGGCTTCCCCAGTTGTGACATGGAGGTCATAAACCTGCCCCCTGGCACATTTCTCATTAGTATGTTCTGGTTTTCTGTTATGGTAATGGAATTCTAGAGAGATACATGACCACTCAGCTAAAGGCTGTATTTCTGGTCTTCCTTGAAGCTAAGAGGGCTGGGTTAGTTAGTTTTGCATCACTATGACCAAAATGCCTGACAAGAACAACTTAGAAAAGGGAAAGTTTATTTGGGCTAATGGTTTCAGAGGTTTCGTTCATGGTCCACTGAGTACGTTGCACCAGCAGCACGCTGAGGCAGAATGTTGTGCAGAAGAGCAAAGGAACATTCCAGGTGGCTAGGAAGCAGAGATAGAGTGAGAGGCAAAGAGGCTGCAGCAAGATGCACTCTCCCAGGGCAGGCCCCAGGAACCCAGCTCCTCCAGCCACACCCCACCTGCCCACAGTTACCACCCAGTCAGTGCATGCAAAGTATGATAGACTGATTAGGTTACAGCTCTCACCATCTAATCATTTCAACCTCTGAATGTTCCTGCACTCACACAGGAGCTTTGGGGGAGACACCTCATATCCAAATCATACCAAAAGCCAGGTAACTCATTTCTGGCCAATGGCAGCCAGCAGAAATAACATGCTCCAGGTCCAGGTCACACAGTTAAGCCTACTGAGGACACCTTTTGCAGGTATTCTTTCCCCTAATCTGCTAGCCACCAAAACAGAAAAATTTAGACTCAGAGATGGGAACCACAGATTGACTGGCAGGGCTGTCATCAGCCTAGACCACATCCACCTCATTGTACCCTGAGCAAATCCTGTTGTATTAAACCAGCACATTTTGCAGCTACTGGGGAACACAGTTTAGCCTCTCTTGGCCAAACAAATCCACTTCACAGCATTCTTAGCATCAGCATTAAGCATGAATAGCCAGGCTAGGAATGTAGCTCTTGCCTAGCATTAGTGAGGCCCTGAGTTTGATCCCCAATACTGCAAAAAAAGTAAAAACAGCCAACTTCAATGAGCATTAATATATCCCTGAATCCTCATCCCAGCCCCTAGAGCTGGGGCCTATTTGTATCCCCACGTTACAGATGGGAAAACCAAGATGTACAGAAATCAAGTCTGGTGAGTGAGATTAAGCCAAAGGTCAACCATCTAGAAAATGGTAGAGCTAGAATTTTAATCTATACCAGCTCCAAAGTCTACAACCATCAGGCCAAATTCAGGGAGGTAATTGTGTGGAGTACACAGCCCAGGACCTAGCGCAGAGTAGACCCTCCTTAAAGTCAATTTCCTTTCCCTCCTTGAGCCTTCACTTGGGGAACTGAGAGGGAAGCAGAGCAATGACTGAGAGGATTGTGAGTGTTGATCTGGATGTCCCAGGGATCACCCAGTTCCTGGGCACCTAGAGCCTTCCAAACAGAAGGGCTCCCTGCTTCTGCCTGCAACACTTCCAGCCTGTTAGAACAGCTCATCCAGCACCAATGCTGCCCAGCTAGAAGGGCCTTCCTGAGCATGAACAAGTGAGGTGTTTCTGCCACAGAGTGACATTTGTATACCTGAAAAAAAATTGCATTTTTGAAAAATCATGCCTCAAAAAATGTTAGACAAAAAAACAAAGTCAGTGCAGACTACTCAGAACTCTGTCATCAGAGTATCAGAGTGCTAACCAAGACAAGAGCAACCCAGGAAAAAAAAAAAAACAGCACCTTCAATTTTCTACTGATATATGCCCACAGGTGCTGCTCTGCCACCTTGGCAGCCTTCACCCCTGAAGTAAGTGCTGCCTTCTTCAAGATGTAGGTCCTGGAGGCATTTGATTCCAGTGGGAACCAGATTTGCCAGTATTAAAAGTCTGACCCAGGGCTGGGGGCGTAGCCCAGTGACAGAGTACTTGCCCAGCATGTGACAGTAGCTGAGCTCCCCTGTTAGACCCCCAGCACTGCAAAAATATTAAGACAAAGTGTGACCCAGAATGAAATCATTTTCAATCTGTTTTGTCTTTTAACTTAGGGATACATTTAGGCAATTTCTTCATTGGATTTTTAATTTTATTTAAAAAAGAAGAAATATGGTGTTAAGTTCTGTTAAGCAGCTAAACCACAGGTATTCCTTCCTCACCAAATTTATGTCCCCCCACCTCTAATTTTCTGCAGTACTGGAGATCAAACCTAGGACCTCACTCAACTAAGTGCTCTACCATTGAGTCACACCCCCAGCCCTTATTGCATCCTTGAGTTGGGATGACAACAGTTCGGGATATTGAGATTTTTGAGAATTCATGTTGGAAGAGATGCCACATCATCCAGATCTATTTGGTTCCTGAATCTTGGAGAGTGATCAGCAAATTTGGATGGCAAGGGAAATCTGTATGTATACTAAAGAAAGGCACTTTCTGGATGGAAGGCAACGTGGCTGCTACGTCTGTCACCCCAATGATCACCAGGATTGATTCAACTGATCTGGCTGGCTAGGTGGATGTTCCCTTCCTCCCTCACTACTCCATGTGTGTTCCTCCTGAAGCTTCCAGCTTAGTCAAAGGACAACCTTCCCTGATAAAGAAGAATCATTCTTCAAGTGTACATAGTAGCTGAGCTCCCCTGCTAGAACCTCCAAACAAAGACACTTCCTAGCTGTGGGCAATGGTGCACACCTGTAATCCCAGCAACTCAGGAGGTTGAGGCAGGAGGATCACAAGTTCAGTGCCAGCCTCAACTACTTAGGGAGACCCTAAGCAACTCAGAGAGACGCTGTCTCAAAATAAAAATGGATGAGGATGTGGCTCAGTGGTTAAGCACCCCTGGATTCAATCCCTGGTGGGTACAAATAAAGAAAGAAAGAAAGGTAGGCACTTTCTGCAGAACTGTGAGCCTTTATTATAAGGAATCCATACATTGAATTGCTCTTTAAAGGTCAGAAATCTCCAAACATTCATGGGTTGGTAAAAGTCTCTCCTGAACCAATGCAAGTCTATGTTAAATGCATATTGTTCCCTCATCATTCTTACAATCAAGGAGGAGGTAAACCACAGTTCAGAAACATGCACTAAGGCAGAACAGACAGAACCCCTGGGTTCTCTGCAAGATCTGCCCTCTGGAGCTGCAAAGTGTGAGTCCCCAAGGCACTCTTCCCATCCCCAGAGACCCAAGTACCTGGGATTAGAGGCACACACAGCAATGCCCAACACACACACACAAAAATTTCTGGTTGGTATTGTCATGACCCCTATTATGCCAAAGAAGAAGAGGTACTCTGGAGGCTGAGGCAGAAAGATCTCAAATTTGAGGCCAACCTCAGCAACTAACAGAGATCTTGTCTCAAATTTTTAAAAAGGGGAAGTGGAATACTGGGGATTTAGTTCAGTAGTGGAGCACTTGCCTAGCTAGCATGCATGAAGTCCTGGGTTCAATCCCCAGTACTGCAAAATAATAATAAAGCTGAAGGAAGACAGTGTCTACAGAGCATAGAATACTACCGGTTTGGGGCAAGCACTCAACAATATTAACTAGTATTACTGTTGTTATCATAAGCGTACAAAATCAAAACTCACATTATCTCAGTGAGCTAAAAGAAAAGCCATCACCATTGCCTTCTCTTTTCATCTGGGGAAACTGAGGCCAAGCCCAAGCTTTATTTTTGGCAAATATCTTGGACTTGCTTTTCCCAGGCTCCACTTGCCTAAAGCCCCCACACGTTAGAGCAATAAACTGAGCCCTGTTGGGGGTAGGGGGTTCACCTCCCCACCAGATTCACACCCTCAGTGGGCCACCCATGAATATAAGTCCCCCAGATACCAGCAGAGGGCAGCATTGCCCCCAGTTCTCCACCGGCCCCACTGCCCGTGAGGAATTTGACTTCGAGGTTCCAGGGAAGACAAGGCTTTACAAGAGCCTTTGAACCCGCAGCCCAGAAAGTGCGAGCCCCGGGTATTTGTACCAGCATTCCTGGCCCTCTCACCAGTTCAGGGATGTGGGAGGAGCTGGGGAGCCTGATGCAGAAAGCAGAGGCACTCCCGAGAGTCGAGGGTCGGCGGGGTCACAGGCTGCTCACGACCACCCAGCGAGCTGGTGGCAGGCAAGAGTCCAAATGTCCCGCACTCCTTCCTTCCCAGTTTAAATTCCTCCCTGAGCGAAACCATCTCCCACCCAGGGCTCTGCCTCCCACCCTCCTTGCCTCTTCTGGTGCTGCTATCCAGGAACCCACGGATATCCATACCCCCTTCCCCGAGGTGGCCAGAACCGGCGGCCGAGAGAGGGAGCGGCTCAACTCCGCCCGTGCACCTCACAGGCTATCCCCAGCCCCTTCCAAGTTCCCGTGGCCCCGCAGCATCCAGCGGATGGATGCCCAAAGCACAGCCTGGCGCGGTGCACTGTGCTGGACGCAGCAGGACCTGGACAGGACAAGACCGGCACCGGGCTGGGGTCTCAGAGGCCACCCAGTTGGCTCCCGCTTTCCTCCTCCTGGTGCGCTCTCGCTGTCCGCACCCCACTTGCGCCCACGGCGTCTCCCGCGGGCGACCGCAACCCAGTTCAGCCCGGGCCCCTTAGTACCCAGCCTCCTGGGGGTCCGGCAGGAGAGCCAAAGCGAGAGGAGTGGAACCTGCCCGCACTGGACCCCTAGGGACCTAGCAATCTCTGAGCCACGTACCGTCCCCAGCACGCTCTTCCAAGACCCAAGCGCTAGGGCCGCTGGCTGTGTGGGTCCCAAGCAACAGACGGATTTAGGGACCTTCAATGGCCCGAAAGGAAGCGGCAGCCGACAAACCTCCGCGCTCCTGCCGGGCCAGCCCCTTAAAGGAACACACCCTCCTTTCCCTCTAAGGCTGGGCCCCAAGGGAGGAGTTGTTACAGATGCGTGCAGCCTCCAGACGTTCTGGGGACCACCCCCAAACAGGAGCTGTTGGCTGAGCTGTGGAGTGCAGGCTGTCTCATCTCGGGGAAGGAGATGAGAGGGAGATGGAAGAGGAGCTGCGGGAGGCGCACATCCCATTAGAACACCCTAGTTTACCCAAAAACAGTGGGACTAAGCAGGGAAAGCCCCTCTCTAGCACTCTGCGGGTGGGCTATGGCTTCCTCTCACAGAGGGAGGAATTACAGTTCTCTATGCCTACTCCCCATAGAAAGCAAGGGATGCTGACATTCTCCTGCCCCTGAGTTTGACCATGATGGCCAGACAGGATGTCAAAGTCAGCACAAGGTAGTTGCTGCCCCTAGTAGGTGGGGCTTGAATGAGTGGCCCAGGGGAGCGGGGCTGGAGAGACAGGCTGGGGTGCCAGCAACATGGGTCACCAGGCTTCTGACTGGTCCTTAACAGAGGAGGGGAACTCCCTTAGGATTCTGGCATCTGTCTGCACAGCTATCAGGCAGCCCCTCTCAGGATGCCTCTATTTGGACAGGTTGTTTTCTTTCCTGTCCTGTCTAATGGGGGCCCTGGCCTGGCAGGCCTTATTTCCTCAGCACAGAAACTCAAGGAGGTCCTTCAGCTTCAGCTGGGAGTATCACAGAGCTCTGACACTCTTCCTAAACACACCTCCAGACAGCCCACACCTTTGCCACACACAGTCAGGAGCAAATCAGAGCATGAAGAACTGCAGTGGGCTAGAGGGTAAACAGCACTGCAAGAGACACCAGGTTTATCAAAGGAGCCCATGAAGAATTGTCTGCAGGGAAGAGTGACGGGTCTGATCGCTGTGCAGGATGGATCAGAGGGAATATAAAAAGGACCCAAGTATGAACTAGGAAACTCCCAAAAGCCTCTCTGATAATGGTGGCCAACATTTTCAGTCCTCTGATGGGCCAGACTTGGCACTGGTGCTTCTGAGCATTTGGTCTTTTAGTCCCCACAGGCCATGGAGCTGGTCTTAGTATTTCCATTTTACAGATGAACTCAAATCCAAAGAGGTTGCGCACATAACCCAACGTGACCCAGAGCCAGGGTTTGAGCCCAGGTTGTCTGACTTAAGACTTACTAAGTTCCACCATCACCACATTTAAACCAGGAACCCTAGACCCTTGGGAGAAACAGGGCAAACAAATCCCAGCACCAACAGCCACAGGTGTAGGGAGAGGTGTGGACAGCAAAAGGGTCAGTTTTGTTACACGAAGGTAAGTTTAACGTGCCAGCTAGGGGTGGGGTGGCCAGCAGGTGAAATGCAGCACTACAGTCAGGAAGAAAACAGTGGGGTTTTTTTACCCCCCATGCCAGGGTCTCATGCTCACTAGGCAAGTGCTCTACCACTGAGCTGAAAAAGAAAATCTGTGGAGGCCATGGTAAAAGCCCTAAAAGTGGAGGAAACTGCTCAGAGAAAGGACCCCAAGTGATGGGACTTCAGTCTAGAGACTTTCAGAAAGCTGTAGCCAACCCATCCAAGGCTACAAAGATGAGAAGAAGGAGCTAAGAGGTGACTTAGGCAATTCCAGCCAGAGTCAGATGGGCACCTGTGACCACTGTCCACCAACCACCCATGGAGAATGACCCCCAGAAAATCCTCAATCTGGCTAATATGGGCCAGTTGACAGATGGAAGTGAAGCTCAGTGTCCCCACTGCGAAGACTCTGGATCTGGCAGGGTTCAAGTTACATTAATTACTAGCAGGCAGAATCATCCCCAGCAGATGTGATGGGGAAAATGTTTCTCCTACCGTAGGTGGTCCTCAGAGGAGGCCAGAACGGGAGATGGGGGCAGGACATGCTCCCAGGAGCACGTCCAGAGGCCAGCAAACCCCAGAAAGAATTGACCCCAAGCCTAATCCACACAGGTCCACAGAAAGCTGGAAACAGGAGGGAACCAGATACCTCTGGGGTGAGCATCCTGCATCCCCAGCTCCAGGGAGACTGCCACCAGGCCCTTTTACTTGGAAGCCCTGGCAATTCACAGCTCTCAGAAAGGAGCAACTTCCAGTCCAGTGTCCCTGATATGGCTCCACCCAAACCCTTTCTTTGGCAGCCACGTGGCTAGCCTGCTGCCAAAGAGGCCCAAAGTTTGGTCAGGACAACTCACCTTGGAAACGAGGGTGAGCCAGGTGGGGATGTAGCTCTGACAGAGCCCTTGCCTAGCATGTGTAAGGCAGATTCGATCCCCAGCACCACCACCCCCCCCAAAAAAAAGTAGGGGTTTCACTGACCCCTTTCCCAGCTGCTCAGCCCCACCTCTAGCTGCCGTCCCCTTCCCAGATCACCAGGGCTCTGGCCTGAACTGCTTCCCCCCAGCCACTTTTTAATGGTCCCTGCATGGAGGAGGGCAGAGAGAGGACCCCTTTCCTCCCAGCCCTAGGGTGTACTTGCCAGTGGCCTCCCAGGAACCAGTGTGCTCTGCCGGGAGGCCCCGAGGCCAGTTGACAGAGCCCAGCCCTCTCCTCCCATTCCACACCACCTGCACCAGAGGCTCCCTACAGCCCGAGAGCGGCCCAGGTTCATGGGTTTCTACAAGTTTCCCCAGCCCAGGGCTCTAATTACAGAAAAGATGAAACTCGCCAAAGGGGAAGTCAGCAGCTTCAAGGACTAGAAGCCTGACCTTCCCCCAGAAGCCCTGAGCAGTCTCTCTCCTCCTGCTGTTAAGCTATTTGTAGTCAGACAGGTGACGAAAGAATGCTGGGCAGTGGTGGGAGCCAAGGCCAGTCAAGTTCCATTTCGACAGGACAATGATGAAGCATGGCAAGAATTCCAGTGGAGAATACAAATATATTTTGGAAGCTGCCTGTGTGCTCGCGGGTGAAGAGCCAGCACAGAGGCCCTCACGCCCACCCAGCCTGCCCACCTCCCTGCCCAGCTGGCTTCCCCATCTGTCCACAGAACGCACCCCCCCCAGCTTCTGTCTTCCTAGGGCTTCGGGACAAAGGTCCAGAGGGGTCTCCAGGGGGATAAAGGGGAAGTACTGCCGGGTGGGTGCAGTGGCAGGCCTGAGGCAGCAGCCTGTTACTTCCAAACTGTGCCTCACGGCTTCCTCTGGGGACATGGGAGTGTGGTGTGCAGAAAGGTGTTCAAGGTGACCCTGGCAGAGTGGACCCAGAGCCTGGAGTGGGGGACTCTGGAGAGGTGTAGGGAACCCATAGTCCTGAGCCTGCCCCTCCCTGTCCATCCCAGACCTACTCAACTCCACAGTGCCTGAGAAAACGAGATGGCAGGAGGGCTGGGTGCCAGGGACAGTGGAAGATGGAGGGTGGGGGTGAGGACAGGGAGGGAGGGAGGGGACTGCATGTTGGCATCTCCTCTGAAGCCCCACTGCCCTCCCTGCCCCCAGCCCCACTACAATCAGAAAGGAGTTCCAAAGAGGCATGGCCCACAGGAGGCAGGAGGTTCTGGGAGGGGCAGGTGGCCCAGTAGCCTCAACGGCCCTCACTACTTCGGCTGGGCCTATCGCCACAGCCCAGCAGCTCCAGGCGCAGCGTGATGCGGTTGTGCCAGGCCACAGGCAGGATGCGCACATAGCGGGCAAAGATAGATGTCTCAAACATATTCTTCTTGTGAGAGTTGTTATCCAAGTTTCCAGGGAAGACCTGGAGGCAGAGGGGGTGTCAGGAGTACCCCAGAGTCAGCCTCCCTCCCCACGGTGCCCTGGGAATAGTGAGGGGAAGGCCCTGGACAGACACCCACCTTGCTGTCCGCAGCCCCTTGCTCCTTGTACTCGGTCCAGTTCACACCATCGTTACTATAGGCCACCTTGTAAGCTGCCACGTACTGGATGTGGCCAAAGTCACGGGCCCCCTGGGTGATGATGCCTGTCACCTCTTTCTGGGAACCTAGGTCAACCTACAGGGAAAACCACGCACATTTTCTTGGCTTGCACCATCTCCAGGAAGGTGGAAAGAGGCAGGTGCACTGGGGCATGATTTGTTTGGGGAAAGCTACTTTCCTTGGCCGAGCCTCAGCTTCCTCATCTATAAAATGGGCACACATAATACCACCCATGGTGCTGGGCACTTCACTTCAATAAAGCTAGGGCCTGGCTAACTCTATAGCAATCCCTGCCAAGGCAGGCAGCCCTTCCTGGAACCCGACTCCTGGCCAGCTCCTTGGATCCAGAGACAGACACCTGCCCCCATCTCTCACCACTGTGGGGAAACTGCCCCTGGACAGACGTCCCAAGATCAAGGTTGCAAAGGAAACTCACTGCCACCCAGCACAAGCCCCAGGAGATCCTCATCCTGCCAGGACTCAGTTTCCCCATTTCTAACACAAGCTCTGGTTCTCCATCACTCAATATGTCTCAGTTATATAAGTCCTAGCACATCTGTTCTGTGTGCATATGGAAAGGTCCCAGGACACGGGGTGGGGGGGGGGGTGTCCCTCCTCCATCCTGCCCTACTGTTTGCCCACAGGTGGCTCTACCCTACACACACGCACCCTCCCTCCACCAGGGGGCCTTCGTGGAAGCAGGAGCACAAGAAAGGTGGGGCGTATTGGGAGGAAGAAAAAGAAAAGTCAAAGACAAACAAGGCTTTGCAGAGAGTCTCTTGGGGAGCACAGGCCTGGGCTGGGTGGAGACCTGGCAGCCCCACCTGATCCCACCAGACCAGCCTGCAGCCCAGGAGGGGCCGGACCCACCTGCAGCCACTCGGAGGCATCGTTGGTCTGGGCGGTCCAGGCGTTGAACTTGCCCTGCCTGTCCAGCCGCCCGTAGAAGGGGTACCAGCCGAAGGCACGCAGGCCCCAGGTCTTAAAGCTGCTGGAGGCTGTGATCTGCTTGTCGGGGATGGTGTTGTCCTTCAGGCCCAGAGGTTCAGAGCATCCTGCCAGCAAGCAGACAGGGGGCTGTCACCTGGATCTGGGATCCGCAGCTCCCCAGGGCATGAGCACAAGGCAATGAAAGGGAAGAACCACAGACCCCGATGTGCCCCTGGCAGTCTTTCTTTTCTTTTTTGGTTTTTGTTTTTTTGGAGACAGGGTCTCACTATGTTGCCCAGGCTGGTCTTGAACTCCTGCCTCAGCCTCCTAAGCAGCCGGGACATGGGAATGCACCTCCACACCAGCCTTGGTATCCTGACAACAGAAAAAAGTTCCACCTGTCTTCAGGGACAACTGCTGTACTTGTCATTGCCTGCTTAGCTCTCTTCTCACCTCGGCTGGTCTTAGCTCCACCCCAACATCACCCAAGACGTCCCCGTGGCCACGGCTCTTCTCCTTTGGCAGGCTCAGCTCCACCTTCAGACCAGACTAGAAAGACACCTCCTCCAAGAAGCCTGCCCTGACCACCTCACTGACATCTCCCTCCTCCTTCCTCCGGCACTCCCCCTTCCTCTGCATGCCTGCTGGCCACACTACTGATTCTGGGACTATCATCCAAAACATTAACCACCACCATGCCATTTACCCAGTGCTTTCTTCAGTCCTTCACTTACTTCAGCCACAGAAAAACCTTAAAGAAGCAGATATCAGCAACCCCATTCTACAGATGAGAAAATCAAGGCTAAGAGACATTAAGCATTGTGCCCAAGTCATACACACACAGACTCCTATCCACCATGCCCCCTGCCAGACCCAACCAAGGCCTGCGTGGTGGCAGCTCCATGATGCGCAGGACAATAGTCCCGCCCTCCAGCAGGTGGAAAATAGAAAAGTCAGAGAATCTCCGGTGTTCAGGGATGTTCCTGTACCTTCTCCAGCAGCACCTTGTCTAATTTCTACCATAGGGCCTTTGCACACTCAAATGTTTTTGGGATGCTGTCACATAGCCCTGGGAGGGCTGGCCTAAGAAGGTGGCCTTTGCTGCACCCCGACCCACCCCAAACACCCAGGAATGTGCTGGAATATTTTGCATTCACATCTGCACCTGCGCCTGGCCAGAACAATTGGGGATGGGCAAGAGATAAAACTCTCCAAAGAATGATGGGTGTGTCTCACACCTAGAGGGGTCCCTGCCCCACAACTGCCTGTCCCTTGGAGGAATTGGGAGGTGGGGGTAGGAGGCATGGACAGCCATCTGGGACACACCTCCTCTGGCCATCCCTGGATGCCTACATCCTGGCCACTTGAGACATCTGCCTCCCAGATGCCCTGAGGAGCCTGCCAATTGTACCATCACCTCATGAGGTCAGTGCTGTGCTCCTGGGCTGGCAGCTGGCTAGTCTGTTGTGTCCAGAACAGAGGACCCTTGGGAAGGCTACAGCCTGGGGTAGTTTTGCGGAGGACACCAATTCTGCATCATTTGCTCAAGGCAAGACCATGCACAGACCACCTGTTTCTAGAAGGTCATGCTCATCTCCCTCTGGGCCTCCCCAGACTTCTAGGGAAAATGCAAGCGGGGGGGGGGGGGGGTACCAGGGCAAGAGCCATCATTCACTAGGTGACCCCAAGATGTCTCTTCCCTTCTCTAGGCCTCAATGTCCTCATCTGCAAAATGAGGTATTAAAGTAGTACTTCTCACTGGGCACGGTGGCACACACCTGTAAACCCAGCAGCTCTGGACACTGAGGCAGGAGGATCACAAGTTCAAAGCCAGCCTCAGTAACTTAGCAAGGCCCTGAGCTACTTAGTGAGACCCTGTCTCAAAAGTAAAAATTAAAAATAAAAAAAAAGGGTTGGGGATGCGGCTTAGTGGTTGAGCATCCCTGGGTTCAATGCCCAGTACCAAACGATAAATAAAGCTCTATTTCTCACAGGTCATCTGGGGATCTTGTTAAGATAAAGATTCTGTATCAGCAGGCCTAGGGCAGGGCTGGAAGTCTGCGTGTGTAGGATGCTCCTAGGTGACACTGATATTGCTGGTCCATGGAGCTCCATGCCCACCAAGCCACCACTCATTCTCTAGCCAGGCTCCAGTCCCACAGGCCTTCATCTATCTTTCAATGCACCCCAGGGCCTTTGCACTTGTCATTCTCATGCCTGGAAAGCTCCTTCCATGCTTCCCAGTGACTGCCTTTCCATCACTCAAGCTTCTACTCAAAGGCCACGCCCCACAGCAGATACTGCGCTGCCCGCTCCCATCACCCTCCACCATTTCCTTCAGAATTATTTCTGCTATCTGATCTTTCTTTATTTGTTCCTTGTCTCCAATCTGACTCCCTCATAAGAATGAAAGTTCCATGAGGTCAAGGGTCTCACTCATATTGTTTCCTAGAGTCAGATATTCAGGGGGAGCTTAGAAAATTTCTTGAGTTAAATGGTTAATCAGTTCACCAGGGACATGGCGCCACCTGTACACACACACACACAGATATATGCACATGCACACTAATACTCTCTCCAACCAACTGAAATGCCTGCAGGGAGAGAAGCCAGGCCAGACCTTGGGGGAAGCACCCAGGGCAACTTTGCCTCCTCATGTGTGAGGCCTGGCCTCTCCTGGCCCCAAGGGAAAGCCAGCTTTGGTGCCTCACGCATCACAGATCCTCGTTCTTACACCTTCCTTCCTGGGTCAGCATGGGGCCCAAGGGTAAACTTCATCTTTTATTCAGGGCTACCTATAACTGACACAGTGCCTCTGCGCACATTAGGGAAAGACACTCCTTTCTCAAGATACGTTACTATGGCAGCCTTAAGACCAAATCTTTGGCTGGGGATGCGGCTCAAGCAGTAGCGCGCTCGCC